CGATGTGGATGGAAAACCACTGGTGTATGCAAAATCACCTTACGATGCGAACGAAGACGGCGCAAAGGACCATGAAAATCGCCTGAGTTTGAAGCTCGGTGATGCCGTGCGTGTCTTGAACACCTCTATGGGCAAGGGATGGTGGTGGGTAGAAGTCGATGGCGAGTCTGGCTACGTTCCATCATCATTCCTTGGTACTGAGGATGACCTGCGCGGCGCGGAGGAAGCCTCCTGGCAGAACGACGAATATTTTGACTTCTACTCACCACCATCCCTTGCCCATGGAGGTGTTCAAGACACGCACGGCATCACCGAGCTTCAAACTTAGGCGATTTTCATGGTCCTTTGCGCCGTCTTCGTTCGCATCGTAAGGTGATTTTGCATACACCAGTGGTTTTCCATCCACATCGTATTCGATTTCAGTTGTGGCCAAGGCCTATGGCTATGTGTAATGTGCATGCCTGGGACTCTGTAGAGAGTGCTGACCCACTAAAATAATTTGGGACCCTAAACTATACCTTTACCGCTTTGGAGCCGATGGATTTTCCGACTTGGACTTCTACCGCAAACTCTCGCAACATTATACACTATACAGCGTATGTTGGGTTTCCGTCCGCTCGTGTCGACATGTCATCTACTGTACATGTACCGGATCGCGGAGGCGGAGGAGCTTGACGAGCTCCCCTGACTCCAGGTTGCCGAGATACCGCCGTCGTCTTCGTTCTTATCGCTGGAGACATTCTCTCCTTCCAGGACCTGCGCATATTTGTCGTCCCGGGGGTAGAGACTATGTTGTCTTTCGAAATAGTTCTTCATCAAGCTCGCGCGAATGATGATTCTCATCATGATGAACTCATTCCGACGGTGTGACATGGCGATGGTCTTTGCTGGGGCACTTGCTTGGTGAAAACGCAATCTTCTTGTGCAGTAGAACATTGATCGGCTGCAGATGAGTACAGTCACTTCGTGGTTGGTCCTACAGGAGGAAGCCTGGCAGGAAAGAGGCAGGACTCATCGTAAACGAAGCGCTCGCAACAAACAATAGCACTCGAAATATCTCAGCGTAAGATTAAGGGCTTATCGCTTTGAGCCACAGCGCCCACAGCCTTGCCTACTTCATCAAAGTGAGCTCTACATGTTCGTTGACCTCTTCACACTACACAGCAGAGAGAAACAAGGATTATGGCTTAGCATTTCGACTCCAACAGCAGAACATTACCAGTATTATTATTATTATTATTATGTGCTTGTTCGCGTAGACATCAGCATGGCCTGCAGCTGCATTAATGGGCATGCAAATCATGCAAACCAGCCAAAAATGTTCGCATAAGCCACTTCGAATAAATACAAAAGACCATAACAGTTTCAGAAAAAGAAGAAATATGCGAAAAGAAGACAAAAACTAGGGTGCCGACACCACTCGGGCACAGATGCCCACCCAACCGCTTCGGTCAGCAGCAAGGGCACGGAACGCCTCCAGATCGACTTTGCTTGACAAGGAAAGTCCAATCCGCTTGGCATCATCTTGTAGTAGCGTTGGTAGTGTGTGTCTTGGTCGTCCCCTCCAGCCCGCTGGACGAGTGCGAGAGAGAAACCCACAAAGAGCTTTGCTTTCTGTCGCGTCGTCTCCCTTGCATGCAACTAACGAGAAAACTGTGTACTTACCCCCCCCCCATTCACACGCAAACTATCAAACAAGTCCTGTGCCGCATGCTGGTCAGGTGGTGCCATGTATGTGTTGTACAGTGGACTCTCAGTTGACATGCCCCCTTTCGAACGCAGACAATCTTTTCGGGTCGGGGACAGGCAACGTTCGCAAACAACTGCGGGTGTTTTTTGTTGCTTGCTTTCCAACCTGTCATGACCTGTCATGACATGATGTGACTTGTGCTCTGCATGTTGGATCCATGCTCCCGCAACTTGACAGGGAAGCAGGTCTATAATAGATAGGATTTGACATGAGGTTAGATTAGGCCTAAACGTTACAGTGTTAGTTTGTCACTTTGTGTGGTCAGTGTCCAATCCATGTTTTACTGGTTTAGTTCGAACCCTGGAGGTTTATGAGAAGGCGTGCTGGGGAAAAAAACGTCATTGCTTGTGGATCGAACTTGGAGACACATGTGAACAGAGCGTCTGAGCCTTCTTTCTTGGAGTGGCTCACTGGACGAAGATGAAGCTAGCGATTGTTGTTCTCCTTTGCGGACTGGTCGTTCAGACACAGGCCCAAATTGACTCGTAAGTACAAGTACTAGATTCGATTACGGCATTAAGGCATTTACAGTTTGAGTAAAGCGCCTCATTCACTGCACGGTCGTTTTGGCAAAGACTGTTGGCATGTTATTCGGCGGACGAGAAAACCTCCTGCCCTGGAGTCGGTTGCAGACTAGTGCTGCAATGGCAGTGTGATTGCCAACTCCTACTGCTTGTCCGCCTATACTTCAAATGTGCATTGTCCTTTAGGCGTTCGAGTTGCAAAACCACATCGGGAAGATCAGTCATAGGCGATGATAATAATTGAAAAGGGTTTCACTTTTTTTTCAGGCATAACTTCATGTTTAATGTCTGTGGTGCCTCTCTCGGTAGGCTGCTCTAGTGCTGCTGCATTTCGCATTGCCTGCTACTTTTCGTAGTTAGAGCCAGGGAGTAGTACAATATTTTATCACTCCCTTAGTATTGACTCACATAGATTTTTGCCATACCTAAGCAGTCAACTATTCTTGCATATTTGACTCCTTAGGGCTATATTGACCGCTTATTTTGACTCCTTTTTAGCGATTGAACACAATGCTTTGGTTAGTCGTGATAAATCTAATATTGACTTCGTACTTGGTCAGTATAGGAAATAAAAGACCTCGTAAAAGACCTCGGCTTCGCCTCGGCCCAGTTTGTGTTCAGTTTATATTCCACGTATAAACCTAAGGTTAGTTTACATTATTAGAATATTACATGTACATGTACGTACTACTCCCTGGTTAGACTGAGCACTCTGGGCCGGCTCTAGACTAGATCAAGAGCGACGTGCTATCATAATGTCTGTCATTGTGGTGCCTCCTTTGGCATTTGCACCATGCCATGGGCATGGCTGGCCTTTGTCAGTTTGTGTTGATCTACATGACATAATTCTTGTACCAGCCCGACCTCGAACCGTACGGTTCGCCGCACTACAATCAAGCGCGCCGTTCCCCGCCGCCGTAGCTCCGATTGACTCGCGGTTTTTTTTGCGCTGGGCAGCTGAAATCCCACTGCAAAATTTGATGTACTACACATGTATGTACATGTCGTACGTGGACATGGAATTGAAATCCAGTCGCACGTCTAGTGGCCCGAGGCCAGGGCGCTGGCCATGCAACCGTGGATAAGCGGAACATGCATTTTATACAGCGCGCCGGTCGCATCGGTTCAACATGACGTACATGTAACTGTCGTTATGCACTGCACGCAGCGTTCGGTACGCACTGCCACTGAGGGCGCCGGCCCCGGTCAATCGACTGGATTTCCATATCCGCCACAGTACGTACCCGGGGCCGGCGCCCTCAGTGCGTACAGAACGCTGCGTGCAGTGCATAAACGTCATGTTGAACCGATGCGACCGGCGCGCTGTATAAAATGCAAACATGTATGATAATTATCAATAATTATAATTCAAAGGATCAGTAGCTAGTCGGGGAAGTGAACTGCCTGAAAAGAGAAAAAAACGCCAGACCCACCAGGACTCGAATCTGGGACCCTGCTTGTCATGAGCAATGCTCTAACCACTGAGCTATGCCAGCCTATGGCCCATGGCCATGGGACCAGGCTAGGCTGAACCTAGAAGGCGCTGACAAGTTTTTCACTCCAAAGGCAGCTCACAACACGTGCCATACATACTGATGGGGGTTCAGCCTGGTCCCATAGCTCAGTGGTAGGGAGTTCAGTTCCGGTCACTGAAAAGCGAAAAGTGCAGTCACAGCTCGCCTGTACAAAGTGAATGGGCGCCTCGTGGCTGCAGTTCGAGATGCAGTTCGCGGCCCGAGTATCTTCTCCCGCGGTCCCGCGGCCTTTTCGGCCTTGTCGATGCTATTTTTAGGTAGCTGAGGTCATTACCTTTCCAATGGTGCCACACATGCCATGCTTCCAAAAATAATGCCTCCGCGCTTGGCGCGGGTGCACTTCGAAGTACTAATTTCGACCAGATCCGTACTCGGCTTCGCGAGGAACACCCGATTTTCGTGTTCAGCGGCCTCGAATTAGCCTAAACCAAGAGGATTCTACAACATTGAGGCTCGCGCTTTATCGCCGTAGAAGGAAAATGATCACAGAAACCAGCCCACGGCGATTTCCTGGTGGTAGACGAAAAAATCGAGTGAACTGCGCGCACACTGTACTGGTAGAAGCAGTGACGGTGAAAACGTGTGACTTGTGCAAGTCGGCGCGCACGGCATGCGTGCACACTGCATGCACATGCATGCACACATCCTGTATCGCCATGTATGCACCAGATAGTGCAGTGCTGGACGGAAACCACACGGCTCCCATACATACTTGCATTTACTTCTGTGACTACTTTCTCCCCCGTTTTCCGATCTTCAATCGACTACCATAATTACAACTCTAGATTGCCTTGGAATTTTGGGTTCAAATTTTCACAGGTTGTTTCTCGATTCTTCCCGGTTTAGAAAAACTAGCGTTTTATGCAAAACTCGCGAATTTGATTTTTCAATTGAAGTCCCTATCAGTGGTTAGACTTAGTTAGAGCATTGCTCATGACAAGCAGGGTCCCAGGTTCGAGTCCTAGTGGGTCTGGCGTTTTTTTCTCTTTTCAGGCAGTTCGCTTCCCCGACTGATCCTTTGAGTTCTCCCAATCCTTTCCAAATAAATAATAATTATAATAATTATCAGTTATTTACATATTATAATAATATTATTATTAAAATATCATTGATATGGGTAGGTTGCCATTTGAAAGTATGGAGAACCAGCGCGTTCAAAAGTATGCTTTTCAGCGTCGCTGTTTCGATCGTGTTCTCGTTCAGTTTCTCTGCTTGTAGCGAATATGTAGCTTGTTCTAGGTCATGTCAACGTCTTCTAGATGTAGTGGACGATTGGAGAGATCGGCTGTGGCGATATCATCGCGGAATGCGACTCGAAATTGAAAATTTGTATCGCTGATCCCATCGCAGTATTCGCTCTCAAAACAGGAGCGAGAGGGAGGGCAGCGATGGCCTAAAATCGTCATGGCAGGCGTAATTCACCAGCCAGCGACTGCTTCTTGTCTTATCTTTCACTTACCTTACGCTGGATGTAAGTAGATGAAGAAAAATATAGATTTAGAATCAGACACAAGAATTCATAATTTGCAAGTTTGAACCAATTGTTTTACCTCAAATGTGTGACAATAATTATGACCATATCCCTGGTATGCTGTTGCTCTTCATGCACTGAGACAACGCTTGTAAGGTTGTTTTGTCCCTATGTTCCCAGTACATGAGCACAAACTAATTCTCAGTCTATTTGTTTGTGATACCCTGGTTGATCAGAAATATGCACAATTGGTGCGTATCTTTGGTATTCCACCTATGGCCTTCATATACTACTGCATGCTGTATCAACATCCATGCTTACCTGGGTGCAGTGATACATATGGAGTCAGGAAAACACAACTTGCATAGACAAAAGTTGTCTAGATTTCGTACCATGGTTGCTTCTTTGGCTGCGATAGCCCCTTACATACATTAGATGGCTGGTACATAAAGGGCTGTACTGATGAGGCCTTAATGGCCAAAACAGCTGGCTGTCTACAGCATTGGGTACTTCAAGTATATGTATGAGCCTCCCCTTTTACCTGGAGTAGCGTGTAGCCACACAACCAGATCTTTGCTTTGATCACACATGACTTGTTTCCGTGTTTGTTTTGTTGTGATATCACCATGGTTATCATAGAGAGCCCCGTGTGTCCACCGATGGAGGTTCATTGACATTCAGCGCCGGCAGGAATGGTGATATTGCTTTCCAAACTGGCACTGGTGGATCCCTGTACCTGAATGGCGGACAGATACAGTCAGCTGCTGACCTCAAGGGTGCCAAGGTATGCTGACAGTCCTTAGTGCACATGTACACAGCACAGTACAGCCTGGCACAACACAGTACAGTACAGCGCCTGCAGTTGTGCATGTAATTGCGAAGGTGGCTGAAAACCAAACAGTATAAGGCTATACGCCATTTGAGGTAGGAGTCTAACGTCAAGAAGTCATCCACAGGGGAGATTTTGCATGTACCGGTATGTGCAAGCCAGGCAGTTTGATAGGTCAACGCCACAGCACAATGAGCTTTCACTTTGAGTGCATACATGCCCAATATCCCGGATGAAGGCAGGCAGGAGCTAGGCCAGTCTGGTTGTCGGGCATTCCTGACTGTAACAGGTAGTTGCACATACACGTATGATCAACTCCTCATTGGCTAGATCCATGGTAACATGGATTGAGTAGCTAAGTATAGAACATTGCTGTTCTGAACTTTGACTCTTCTCATGGCATCAGGGTGATGGTGGTGCAAAAGGTGAAGCTGGTCTTGATGGTATGAAAGGAGACCGAGGTATCGCTGCTATTGATGGTGCAAAGGGAAATTCAGGCTCCAATGGACAGCAAGGCATCAAAGGAGATACAGGAGTAGCAGGTTAGCTGATGTACATGCCGGCACGATGGTCTCATGACTGTGTTTTATTCAGTATGTCACGTTACTTTGTTGGTGCATTTCGTCCCTCATCCTCTCCGTAATGCTCCAACCCAATCAACTGAAAGCGTCTTTCAATCATCCCTATTGTCCAGCTCGCCTGACATCTATTTTGGAGTGGTCATTGCATTTCTTTCTGTGTGACTACCGTCTCTCATTTTCAAACATCATACTACATTTATTTACTCGGCTTACTTAAAAATGCTCATGGCTGCACTGATGGGGCCTTTATGGCTGAAACAGCTTGCTGTCTACAGTATTGCGTGTTATGTTAATTTGTGTTGTTCCAGGTGTGAAAGGTGATGTTGGCAGCACGGGATCAAAGGGAGACATGGGAATGAAGGGCGAGACTGGTACCAGCGGTGTCAATGGAATCAAGGGTGACGCTGGTGTACAGGGACCTAAGGGTACAGCTGGTACAAAGGGTACATCCGGTGACAAGGGAGAAGCTGGTACGTAAACCTACAAGTCTCTTTCGTAGCTGTATCTTCTATGTCCTCGTCGTTCTCTCCCTCTCTCTCTCTCTCTCTCTCTCTCTCTCTCTCTCTCTCTCTCTCTCTCTCTCTCTCTCTCTCTCTCCCTCTCTCTCTCCCTCTTGTACTCTCTTCCTCCTCCCTCCCCCTCTCCTCTCTCTCTCCCCTTCTCGCACACATTGGTGAATGAACAAAATTGACCCACTAGGAATGCACTCTGTACAACGTTTGAAGTGTCTAGTATGCAATACTGCTTGTGCCTTGAAGCTAGTCTTATACAGAGCTCTACCTGCTACCCCAAACTTAGTGCATTGGTGTACACCGGATTTCTCTTTGGGCAAGGTGAACACCCCACCCACATAGGCTCGATGCAATGCTCCCTCAGTGTGGTATCACTCTGCATGCATTTTTACAGTGGCACATTCTTCTTCAACTCATACTTGCACCACATAAGTCAAATTTCATAACATTATTGTGTTCCTTTAGGACCGCCTGGTCCCACAACTGCTGTTGGTGGTGGCAGCGGTAGCGATGGTTGTCTTCTGGCCTATCTTCCATCGTGCCCGTATTGGCTGAATCTCGACAAGCCCATCCTGGCAGCTAACACACCGAACCAGATCCTGAGAGTGGCAACAGGCAGTAAGCACCATGCAGTGCCTTTCTCCACACCAGTAACAACATCCATTCAGTATGTGTGCTATACATAATAAAATAGGAATATGAGTGGGAAATATCAATGCTGGAAATGTACATAGCACTTTGGACAATATGTTGTTTGTTTGTGTGTGTGTGTGTGTGTGTGTGTGTGTGTGTGTCTGTGTGTGTGTGTGTGTGTGTGTGTGCGTGTGTGTGTGTGTGTGTGCATGTGTGCATACGCGTGCGTGCGTGTTTGTGTGGTGCTCGAGATGATGTCTACATATGACCTCCTGATTTAGTCAGTAAACTTGCCTGCTGATCCGATCATATTATAGGAGGAAGAGAGAAAAACAGGACACATGTAATGCTCGGAGCAATACTCTCCCCACTATTGCATGCTCTTTAGCTACGGTCGGCGTCGGCAACCAAACAAGCCGCATTTCCATCTGTTAGAAAGACTTCAGATTGATACCCCAGCCAGCTATTTTGGTCATATTATCATACTGCTATCGCTAAGCAAAAGGCGACTGTGTCTATATCACGGGGCTTGAGACCAAACATAACAGTAGTCGTATTCTCTGTTGCTTCTAACCTTCTTCCATCCACTAACTGAACAAAGTGATGTAAAGTCAGTAAAAAAATGCGTCAGCAAGGAACACAGTTGACAAAAGGATACTGAGCGCGACATTCAACGAACTGACCCTGTGGCTCAAAACCCATCTCAACATGGCTAATATGCAGCAGGTATCCTGTTCAGAAGACTACAATATGTTAGGCAAGCAGACAGACTGTTACAGGGCTCATCCTATTTCCATCTAAGCGGCGTTCATTAGGATATTCAAGTTTCAAAAGTTTTCAACAATTTGTTGCGTTTCCAATCACGTGTCCTCTTCAATAGCTAATGGCCACCCAAGTTGGGTGCACCGGTGGGCTACGGTATTTTCTCACCCTGTTCTTTTCCTAGGAGGATAACTAAGAGTTGAACTCGTAGGATTGCTGTTTGGAGGTACAAAGTGCTTGCTCGCTTTTAATGTATGAGACTTGTTGATTTTGAAAGCTTGAAATAAGGATTCCTCTGAGGCAAGGTAATCCTTGAGGTGCAACTGTTGCTCAACTACCTGCTGTCACCCATTGTGTTGGTGTTCATGCAGATATGGAGAAGTTCTTCCATCCCCTGTATGAAGCCAGTTTCAAATGCAAGTTCTATGGTCTGAGCTCATCCAGAACCATGTACTCCAGCAAGGCTGCCCTTACCTCTGAAGTTTATCCGAAAACTGGCAAGATTTACTATCAAGTCAACTGGTAAGCAGTGCTATCACGTTCTCTTGCTCTGCGTGTGTATGTACCGCTATATGCAGTGTGTGTCCGTGTCTGTGCATATGTATGTGTAATATTATGATCACACCAGAGCAGTTCAGGACAAGACAAAAGGGGGAACTGTTGGCTTCAAGGTCAAAGCTAGAACGCTGAACTAGAACGACACGGAAGCTCAGCAGCACAACGGAAACAGATGCGCGGCTGATACAAACTTAGAGTAGAGGAGTAGAAAGATAATGATCTATCATGTGAGGCAGCTCACTAGTAAGGATATGACATCCCTCCACCATTAGATGAGGAACACTTAAAGTAATGATATGAGAAATGAGTTCACTATAATTTGTTGTTGATACGAGAAGCGAGTTCAATGCAACACACTAAGGAACTGCAAATACCAACAGAGAGCTGAACGCAAAACCCAGCAGGTCTGCAGTTACAAGTTCAAACGATCAGGGAACTTCCTTGAGGGTGTAGACCTGCGTAGATTAGAGCTAGGAGAATTAACAGAGATATCAGAAGACTGAGTAGAAGATTCAGCAGAAGGTGCAGCGGATGCAGAAGAGGATAGTGATGTTGATTCCACATTCTGGCGGCTGGCGGCAACCTCTGGCTGTGACGGCGGCTGTGGTGATTCGGCCTCTGCATGTGACGGCGGCTGTGGTGATTCGGCCTCTGCATGTGACGGCGGCTATGCAGTTGCCAAATTTGAAGTTGATGATGGTGATGACCGGTCGGATATGCCTGCACTCTCGGGTAGCATTTCTCCTCCCTCGGACGGAAGATGGCGTCTAATGTGATCAGCATGGCGCTTCCAAATGCGACCATCATCCAGACGTGCAGTAAACGTGGCTGGACCAAGACATTCTTCCAGCACACCAGGCATCCATTTAGGCGTAGATGTGAAGTTAATCACCCAAACAGCATCACCACAACAGGGATCCGACGCCCGAGCTGTGCGACTGTCAACAGCGGCACCTTGCCTGTTCAAGACACGTGTTGATGTATCTGGAAACGTCAGGTCAAGACGAGAACGTGGCGTGCGGTTCATAAGCAGCTGAAATGGTGACTGGCCTGTTGTTGACTGAGGCGTTAAGCGATAATGAAACAGAAAGCGGTGTAACCGTGACGCTAGGTCTCCACCAGTACCTGGCAATTTCTTCAAGCCGGATTTGACTGTTTGAACTGCTCGCTCAGCAAGACCGTTGCTTGCTGGGTGGTAGGGTGAAACCAAGGTATGCTTGATACCGTTACTTGAGCAGAATTGTTGAAATTCCGAGCTGGTGAACACTGAGCCATTTTCCGAGACAAGCTGTTGCGGACGACCATGTGTAGCGAAACACTCACGAAGCTTGCCAATGGTAACTGTCGACGTAGCAGATGGAACGGTGTGCACGTCGATGTACTTGCTGTGGCTGTCGACGATCACAAGTAGCATCTCGCCTTCCACAGGGCCTGCATAATCAATGTGCAGTCGGGTCCAGGGTTTGCACTCCCAGGGATGCAATGGCTGTAGTGCTGGAGACTTCTGGGTTGCTTGACATGGCTCACAGCTGCGGACCTTGAGTTCAATTTCGGCATCGATCGATGGCCACCAGACGTAGCTGCGGGCGAGCGACTTCATTCTGGTTAAGCCGGGATGGCTGAAATGTAGAAATAGTGACGTAGTATGCCGTATTTGTGGCCTTTCCCCATCAACATGTATATGATTGGGAGGTACGGACATTTCGAAGTTACGGGCAATGCCCAGTCCCGGACCGCCCGGATAAGCGAGGTATGAGTGTACTTGCAAGTATGTGAATTCCACTGTACTTTGGCGAGACGCATGTCAAACATGACAATATGACATCTAGGAATGGGTTTGCCCCCACACTGGAGCACAATCATCGCCGAAGTCGCAACCTCTATTTCGTAATATGACATCTATGAATTCAGATTTGTTTTTCCTTTCCCCTTTTGTTTTGTTTGTTTTTGGCAACACAGCCACATGCTGTATGATCAGTCGTGTTGAGCGACAACATCTATGATAAATTCCAATTATGTACATTCTTGCTTCATGCAGCACTGCGCCAACCTGGACATTACGATCCTCCTCATCCGGCGCCCCGGTACAAATGGAGATCGTTAATGTGACACTCTGGTTCCAGGACATAATGGAAGTGCCGTTTTCTGGAATGGGAACCTCCAACCAGGTTCAGTTCGCTGGTAAGATAGATAGTCATTCAAAAGATTGCACTTTAAAATGTCATTCAAACACACACATTTACTACAATGCATGACCCCATTTCTTTAAAAAAATTGTTTTTTTCATTATTTATAAAAAGTGAAAAGGACCAAGGCACTACTAGTTGCACTATAATGTCCACTTACACAACCAGTTACTAAACAATCAGGTCATGTGATGACATTGCACGACACTGACCGACGGTACTGACGTTCTACAACTAACTGGCTAACAGCTCTTGCACATCTTGGATGCGCACTCCAACAGCCTTCCAACTTGGAAGGTTCTAAGTTACAGAAATAACATAAGGATAAGGGACGCATGAGCTGATGGTTTAGTAACTGGTGGTGTTAGTGGACATTATAGTGTAATTAGTAGTTCCTTGGTCCTTTTTACTTTTATAAGTAATCCTTGGCTCTCCATCCGACGTTTCTTCAGAATTCCCAAACTCCAGTGCAGCGTATTTCTTGCTCTTGAAAATACCGCCATTCCGGCAACAGGCTCTCAGCTGCACCAAATAGATAAATAAATAACTTTGCCAATATTTCGCCCATTGGGCATCATCAGGGCATTGAGGAAGGGGAGGCAAAAACACGAAATATAAGGACGAATAATGCAGGCAGATGTCTGTCCCTCCATCCGAGTTCATTTTTTTTAATAAGTTAGGGTTTATCGGGTGTTAGTAGCCATCGTGAGTTTCCTGCGGGGACGGACACGGTAATTTACTTTTTTCCGTTAGTTGTTGGTCCAGTGCTGTCATGTTCTGTAATTGACCGTGTTAGAGGCTTTTCACACCGACTACAAGTGCAGGATGTAGTCTGTGCTATGGTCGCATCGTTTCTTCTCCATCCATGCCAGAGAACAGCTAAGCATTGCACCTGACTTGTTCCGGCTATTATACTTTGTACGTGTCAGTGGCGTGTCCAGGATTTGACTGGGGGGGGGGGGGGGGTTGCGGCCGGGATGGGGTAGGGGTAGATGAAATCATGCTACTGTCCCAGGTCAGCCATTTTGAAAACCGATGTCAAGGAGCCGTAAATCTCACACACCACGAGAAGTATTTCTGTACATGCAGCAACATTGTACATTGTAAACTTCAAATTTGCCGTTACTAGGTGTGAGCGAATCAACTGCAATTTCTGCGAGTCCAACAATTAATATTTCTCACCGCTCAAAGCATCCTTTACATAGGAAGCGGTACTATGTCCACTTGTCACTGTGTGCAGTTCTTCATGTTCTGGCTGCTCGCTGACAACAGGTGCTTCCACATCTGGCGGAGTGTGACTGTCAGTCCGCTCCGAAAGTTCAACTGGAATAACAGCGACTTCATCACTCCCACTGTTTCCTGATGGAGCGGCAGCAGGAGTTGCGCCGCCACAGGAACGCTTTGCAAAAATCCATCCAGGCTCTGCTGGCTAGAGCTTGGCCTTTTGGGATGTCGCTGAGACTTCGAAGAAAAGTCTTCGAGTCAACCAAAACACGATTCAAACGAGGATAATCGCCTGAACCCACGGCATTCGAATCGTGTTTTGGTTGACTCCAAGACTTTTCTTCGATGTTTGTACGTTGAAGACGCGTCGAGCGTGTCCCAGCAGGGATCACACTGTACAACAGTACAGTGACAGTGTACACAGTCAGGTCACCGTGTTTTTGACGATCGTTTCAGGCCGCGCGCGCCCCGAGCCTAGCCAGCCCTGCCTTTTATTTTTTCGAGACCTAGGTCGAAACTTTTGAGGGGGTGGCGCGCCCCCCGCCCCCCCCCCCCCCCCTAAACCCGCCACTGCATGAAACTGTCCTCCCTCACGTATGTCTGAGTGCCTCACGGTGTGCTCTTCTTGGTGTCTATGTGTCCGTCTTTTCGTCATTCTGTCTGTTACTATGCACTTACAGTCGGTTGGTTCAATACCATTACCCAGGCTGATGGTTCTGTACTGATTCGTGGTAAGCTCATCTTTATGAAAATATGCCGATGTCATACTCACACAGTATAATGAGGCCAAAACCATTCAGTCCCCATTAATCCGACTTGCTTTCCCTATAGCCACAATACACAATCTACTAATAAGTCCGTTGCTTGATCTCCAAAAATGCCTTGGTGGTTACCAACAGCCAGTGTATGCCGGAGTATTTTTATTTTTTTATATTTTTTTAGTGTTTATTTGAATTCGGATAGCTCAACAGTACAGAAGTACAACTACAAAGAGTACCGAATAGAAGGCCCCAAGAACGGGAAACCAAAAAAACAAAACAAAAACAGCAACAGCAATTTACTGATTACACACATTGCTTGAAAGCAAATCACAACAATGATTAAGAGTTAAGCTGTCTTTTAGCCAAATAGCCAATTTGACGCGGAAATCTGCGATAGTAGTGCAGGACTTCAGGTCGTCTGGTAAATAATTCCAAACAAGAGCCGATTTACTTGAAAAGGACAGAAATGTTGTACCTGCGCCTGCACGTGTTATCTCTTCGTCGTAGCTGCTGCTGTATTTGTGTCTCTGTGCTGCTGACCCGTACATGCTGCTGCGCGCGCTGCTTTGTTGCTGACCCGTACATGCTGCTGCGCTGCTTTGTTGTTGACACGTGCACCTTTTTGTGCTGAGTACACCACCTTTTTGTGCTGACGAGGGCACCAATTTATGATTATCATGTTTTCCTTTTGCCATGTCAGTCGTCAGTTGTCCGACGTTCGTCGTCAGTTGTCAGTCGTTCGTTGTCAGAGTCAGACGTTTGTTGACAGTCGTCAGTCATTCGTTGTCAGTGTTAGTTCTCCATTATGAGTTCTTCCGTCGCCGCTTGAAGTAAACTATGAAAAGCTCTCTCTCTAGCTCTAGAGAAAAACCACTGACTAGTTCGTTTTGAGGTGTGGCGTGGCGAGGATAGAAGAGGCAGCTCGTTCTCAACCTTCCGAGACGACATTTGGCGCCCAACTAATCGAACCCACGACCCTGAAGCTCGTCGCTCTCCGGCCGGTGTTTTTCGTTTTCCTCTTCGCGTTCTCGCCATGGCTCCGCTTTGCTGCGTCTGTTCAACCCTTTCCAAGATCCTCGGAGCTCCTACTCAGGTGAGCATGCCTTTGTAATTGTCTGCTCTGCGTAATGTGTTGCCGTACCTTGTATTCGATTTCGAATTTTCAAATAATTGTTTTGCGTCGGGTGACTCGGGTCCCGGCAGGAATTCCGTGGAACCTTGTTCTCTTGTGTTCGAGTGTGTACTCGTAGTGTAGTTGTTGCTGCTCGTTGGAAGTTCGCCCCGTTGTGTTAGTTGTGTCGCTCTGACTACCCTGTACTGTACTGTTGTGTATGAAAATTTCAAACTTCTGTTCGTGCGCTACTCGTTCGAATCTGGAACTTGTGTTTGCATGTTCGTCGTGCATTCAGCATGGGTAGCTTTGATCTCGTCTTGTGTTGTGCACTTGTGCTTGTCACGGAGTTGCCGTCGGACTGCTCCGATAGTGTGACTGTGTCGCGTGATTTGTTTAGATGTCCACCTGAACGTTCTCGAGGTGCTGCCTCGTATGTAGTCGATCCATATTGTTTTGTTTCGTGTTTTTACCGTTTTAGTAGTAGTTTCTCCATGTTCTGTGTACATGGTGTAGAGCGTTGTCAGGCTCGGTCATGCACTGTCAACAAAGTAGGAAAGCTGTTGGCTTCCGGTTTGGTGGGAGGTGTGAACTTCATGTAGGATTCTCGTTCTTGATCCAGGTTGAATTTTTTTTGTGAGCGTATGGTTTTGTAATAATTGTGTTTCGGCATGTGGGTTTCTCTAGTTCGCCTGGGTGGGCGTCTGATCATGGTGAGCCACGGTCTGCTTGGTGGTCTGCAGGGATCCTGCGCTTTTTTGTATCGGTTTGCCTTGCGGGTGTTATGGTTTCCGTGTGTTGCTGGCTGGCCCTTGTGCGTCCCAGTCGGTGCCGGACAGTTTTTTTTTCTTCGGTTTTTCGGTTTTGTGAGCGGATGTACTATAAGTTCCGTGTTATTCAGGTTCGATCCCTGTGGGTTTTCAGGTTCAATCCCTGCGGTTTTTTCAGGCTAGAGACCTGTGGTTATTCAGAGTAGCGCCCTGTGGTTTTTCTTCATTATCTTTTGCGTATTGGTAACCGATTTGTTTGTGTGTCCTCAATGGTGTCCTCACTGATTAATTGCTCCTGTTTCAGTCGACGTGTTCTTCCTGGCTGTTCTTCCCTTCCTTCGTGTGCTTTTCTGATTTTTGGTGATGGCTGAGATGTTTGCGTCAGTCCTTCTCTCTTTCTGTGTGTGTCCTGTGATTCTCGGAGTTTCTGTAGCGCCATCGGTTTTCTGACAGCCGGCCAGTGTGCGTTTTGCTGCCCCAGTCTTCTCGGTCGGTGCGTACTGTCGGTCTCGCCGCTCCTGGAAGCGTCGCTGGGTCCGTCGGCATAACCTGTTTTCTCATGCATTTGTACTTTTGTTTTGTCATGACTGGTGGATGGGTGGCGTACTAGGTTGGTGCTGTTCTAAGAATAAAAGATCCAAAGGGACAAACACAGGTCGAACAGCTCGCCAGCCGGGGTCCTCTGCAAAATCTGTTGCTTGCAGGTTCCGTTGATTGGTGCACAGTTTTGCGGGGCTCCCGACTGGTGTTAACCCTCCTGGCCTACTCGTCATGCGTTCAACAGTTGTGGCCCACCTCTTTTGTGTTTTATTGTCGCCTGTTTATGTTGCTTCATATTTCATTTCCCCTGTCTTTCTGTCTTCTTCTCCGGTCTGTCTCCTTCCGTTTTTTTATACACTTCACTTTTGCTTCCATCCACAGGAGTGGATGTCTTTTTTTGATAGGGGATAGTGTTGTACCTGCGCCTGCACGTGTTATCTCTTCGTCGTAGCTGCTGCTGTATTTGTGTCTCTGTGCTGCTGACCCGTACATGCTGCTGCGCGCGCTGCTTTGTTGCTGACCCGTACATGCTGCTGCGCTGCTTTGTTGTTGACACGTGCACCTTTTTGTGCTGAGTACACCACCTTTTTGTGCTGACGAGGGCACCAATTTATGATTATCATGTTTTCCTTTTGCCATGTCAGTCGTCAGTTGTCCGACGTTCGTCGTCAGTTGTTAGTCGTTCGTTGTCAGAGTCAGACGTTTGTTGACAGTCGTCAGTCATTCGTTGTCAGTGTTAGTTCTCCATTATGAGTTCTTCCGTCGCCGCTTGAAGTGAACTATGAAAAGCTCTCTCTCTAGCTCTAGAGAAAAACCACTGACTAGTTCGTTTTGAGGTGTGGCGTGGCGAGGATAGAAGAGGCAGCTCGTTCTCAACCTTCCGAGACGACAGAAAGCCAGACATAGATCTATAGCGATTGATACTCATGTTAAGAGTTGTTGAGCCGCGAGTAGTTCGGGTAGACGTACAGATGGGAAAGAGGGACTGCAAGCAAACAGCCGGCTTAATACAGTAACAGTGGAAAATGAATACAAGGAACAAAAATACTGATCGAGTATGTGGTGTGGTGTGTCAAAAAAAAGAATGGAAAAAATGAAAAATGAAAAATAGGGATTCAATGGACAGAAAAAGGCCATTTCAATCAGCTGTGTGGTGGACACCGGGCTAAAATTAGTGGCTGTAAATTCATCAGCCTTGCAAGCTGTTGAATGGTGTAATCCCAGCACAAGTTGCTATGTCTAACATAGCTGTTCGCTATCATCGCTTCCGCGATGGGCATGTCTGAGTCTGAGTCTGAGTGAGTGTGAGTATGTGTGTGTGTGTGTGTGTGTGTGTGTGTGTGTGCGCGCGTGTGTGTGTGTGTGTATGTTTGTGCGTGCGCGCGCGTGTGTGTGTGTGTGTGTGTTACATTTGATGTAAGTGAGTGATAATGTTGAGAATGTGACTTACTTCAAGTGTCTAGGCTCCGTCGCACACATGGATGCTAGATTGGTTCATGTTATCAAACCACGCATTGCTAGAGCATCGAGGGCCTTTGTGGTGCTACATCGTACCGTTTTCGTTGATTGCAATCTTTCAATTGCCATTAGGCGCCAGGTGTCTGGGCATGTGTATTTTTCCTGGTGCTGTACTGCTCCGAGTGCTCTGGGCATGTGTATTTTTCCTGGTGCTGTACTGCTCCGAGTGCTGGGTGCCACTCAGTCGGGATTTAGCTGCCTGACAATTTTTCATCTGAGATGTAATCGATCGATCTTGGGAATTACTCGACTTGGTGTGTGGATATCTCGCCTGACCAACATCGAGACACTGGTCGTCTGGAACTCCGTCAAACGGGATGATAAACCGACAGTTTCAACAACTTTCTGCATTTCTTGTTTGTTCAGGCATCGGGTTCAACACAATTGTATCGTTCCTCTGTCAGTTCTCTAACACATCGTCACTGGGTCTGATGCTGCACGTCAATGCCACTACACAGCTGGCAGATAACAGCAGCTACATTCGCTGTAACCCACCCCACTGGAACTTTACCGGCGACTCCAGGTCAGAACTGTGTGTGTGTGTGTGTGTGTGTGTGTGTGTGTTTCCCAGTGATGGGATCACGTGACCCTTTTGCGGCAGTGACTCTACAGGACAGTGTGTGTGTGTGTGTGTGTGTGTGTGTGTGTGTGTGTGTGTGTGTGTGTGTGTGTGTGTGTGCGTGTGTGCGTGTGTGTGTCCCATATGGTGCAGTGGTATGTGCAGTCGATTTCCAATCGAGAGGTTGCGGGTTCAATTCCCGACGATTATGGTCGCACACGTCTTTCTTCTCTTTCTCATTCTCCTAGCTCTTCTTTCATTCTCCTGGGTGGTTACCAACAGCCAGTGTATGCCGCAGTATGGTGTGGCATGTGTGTGTAAAAAAGGGATGAAAAAATGGGAAAAAAATGAAAAATAGGGATTCACTGGCCAGATAAAGCCACTTCAATCAGCTGTGTGGTGGATACCAGGCTAAAATTGGTGGCGGTCAATTCATCAGCCTTGCAAGCTGTTGAATGGTGTAATCCCAGCACAAGCAAAGTTGCTATGTCTAACATAGCTGTTCGCTATCATCGCTTCCGCGATGGGCAGGTCTGATGTCTGAAGTGTGTGTGTGTGTGTGTGTGTGTGTGTGTGTGTGTGTGTGTCCCATATGGTGCAGTGGTATGTGCAGCGATTTCCAATCGATAGATTGCGGGTTCGATTCCCGACGATTATGGTCACACACGTCTTTCTTCTCTTTCTCAGACTCTTCCTGACTTTTCTTTCATTCTCCTGGGTGGTTACCAACAGCCAGTGCATGCCGGAGTATGTGGTGTGATGTGTGTGCGGGAAAAAAAAAGAAAAAAAAAAGAAGAGAAAAAAAATGAAAAAGACCAAAAAAGGGATTCACTGGCCAGAAAATGTCACTCCAAATAGCTGTATGGTGTAGACCAGGCTGAATAGTGACGGTCAATTCTTCAGCCTTGCAAGCTGTTGAATGGTGTAATCCCAGCACAAGTTGCTATGGCTTCTGCCGTAGCATTGCTATCATCGCCTCCGGCGATGGGCGTCAAAGGTCAAAGGTGTGTGTGTGTGTGTGTGCACCTTGTTATCACTCACTATGACTTACTGAGGTGTGGCAAGCCCATAAGTGGGATCATTTCCAAGTCAACCCATAGTATGGGGGTTTCAGGGGGTGTTGGCCATTGGGCAGTTCAATAGCCAATTGAGCCATCTTTCCGACATTCATTTGAATTTCTCTCCCTTTTCCCGGGGAGACCCACATGACCAGTTTTGGCAGTGAGCAAGGAGACAAGTGCAAGTATAAACGTGTGTTTGTGTGTGTGTGTGTGTGTGTGTGTGTGTGTGTGTGTGTGTGTGTGTGTGTGAATGTGTGTATATAGTATGTGTGTGTGTGTGTGAATATGTGTGTTTGTGTGACTGTGTGTGTATGGACTTACATCATGACATATTATTAATATGCCTAGTTCACATTCGACGCACCACTGACAGTTCTGTCGGAACGGCTGGGGTGAGCTGCAAAACCCTGTACGATTTGCACAACACGGCATGCAGCAGTCGTTGTGATGTTCAACGTAGAACGGCGCGAGTCAAACGGCACGGTCCATGATGTGGTGACTTCCGGACCTAATTCAGTTTTTCGGGACTTCTGTTCAATTATTCCTCCTTGAATGAAGCGGAATCAAGTTCACAAAAAAACAGTTTTTCATGAAGAACAAAAATAGCCCTGAAAGTTGTGGCATTCAAATAATAGCTCCAGGAAATGATAGAACAATTCGTCTGTCACGCTCCTGAACTAGCCCTAAAATACAATAAGTGTCATGAGATCTTATCTTGTAAAACTCAACTAAAGTCATGTCACAGCCATTCTGTGAGGTCTCATGGTTTATCGTAGTGTTCGAAATGCTAAAAAGTTCCAAGTATGAATCGGGAGTGGTCGGCACACGACACCGTCTTCTGTTCGCACTCGAATTGCAGCCGTTTTTTATGCTTTCATCCCCGTCTACGCCCGTCTACGGTATGAAGAGTTGAATCGATTCAACTCTTCCCACCGCGTCCCGATTATTATTACGCACACACTCATGGCCAAGGCCAATCAAGGAGGAGGTGAGGGCGATTATAGCCAGCCATGGTGAAAAAAAGAAGAAAGAAAACAAGTGCAAATCCGTACGGTAGTACGGTTGCGTTCTCGTTTCTGGTGTTCACATTGGACGTCGTCAGACCGTCCCGTCGCTTCCCGTCGACCCTTACGTTGCGTCCCGTTGCACCCCGTCGAATGTGAACTAGGCTTTACTATGCCACTGGGCAATCATCATCTACCCCCCACCCCAACCCACCCCCCACCCCTCTCCATCACCACCTTGTAGGATCATGATTTGCCCATGAATAATCTGTAAGTGGACTGGATTTGCTGCAGTGGTTCATGGCTGGGATATCATAGTTCAATCAACAATGCTTTGTGTTACTTGAAGAAATGCTAATGGACTATTTCCTACTTTGGTATCCGGCTGTAGAATCAACGTCTTGACCCAGGTGCGCATTTTTGAGGAGGATCCCGTGACAAAGGCAGTTCTCCGTGAAGTCCCATTCGTTGGCACACCGAAGACGGATGACCTCTACATGTACTACCGATGTCGTGATGGGGTAAGGGTCATGGGATCAATCTCTGCTGGATGGTTTTAATGATAACTTGCATGCCGCCCTACCGGTAGGACCCAAGAAATCACGCTGCGAAAATGCTTTTGGTTGAGAAATTTCTTGAAACAATTGTTGAGATGAGGTCTTTGTCAGGCAAAGTAATGGCGCAAAATGCAAGGCTATGTCCAGTGCACTGCATATGCGCAATTTTATCAATTGTCACAATGGCCGCACATACTCCCGCGGAGCGCGAGCAACTCTGTCCAAAATGAATTTTGACCATGGCACATCAATCGTGGCAAGGTCCTAATGTTTTATTAGCCTGCCAAGGCAGTGGAATGCATAAATCCATACTCCGTTTCCAGTATTTGGGTCAAAAGCCAATAAATACTGTTTATAAAATACCACTAAGGCCAATAAATGAGCCAGGGACTATAGAAACCGCCCTACGACGTTTGATATCAAAATCAAGTTATGACGTTTCAAAGTCACGCGACTCAAAGTTACGCGAAGCGCAGAACTCGTCACTTTTGTTTTGACAAGACTCAAGAGCTGTCCTCTTGTTAGGTGTTCGGGGAAGGATTCCGAGCTCGAGCGATTGTCGAGTAACTCATGAGGCTCCACTTACTGTGATTGATTATGGCTACAACATCTAGTAGACGACGCAGCTCGATTCTGTGTGGAGTCGACTAGTCCCTGATGCGAAGGCGCTTGAATCGGACGACGAGAATTTTTACGGATTCAGCGCTGGCACCCGCGAGTCGTCCGCGAGCGATTCCGACACCGATGCTGACAGCGACGGCGATGATATGCCACCTAAGAAGAAGACGTATGGAGTCACAGCAAGCTCGAGTGCTGCTAGTGTTGTGTCGAAAACGCCAAGCCCCGACAGCTCGGAAATTTCAAACGCGGAGAGTGACACCGACTACTCAGAATCGGATGACGAACCAGATACCCCCGCACCTGAGCCACCGACGACGGAGCAGGTGAAGCGTGGTCTCCTCGGACATACGCGATGGGATTGAGAGAGGCTGTGGATGCAAGTTGAGGAATCATTGGAAAGTCATCCCAGAGCAGCAGCTCGAGGACTACATATTTGAAGTCTCTAAACTGCGAGAATCGAAAAATCGCTTCAAGCAGTTTGTTCTGGGCGCACTGACTGGAAGCATGCGAAAGTCGATGACTGGCGGTGGTGATTGACCTTTCTATTTCCGCTATCATGTACGTGGTTACGAGTTGTGCAAAGACGTGTTCATGGCAGTTCATGCTGTTGGAAGTCATGTAATGAAGCGCCTTCAAAAAAAGGCAAACAAAGGAGTCGTTCAACTGGCACAACATGGCTTGACTGGGAGAACACCAGAGCACTTGGCCATTTCAGCAGACATAGAGCAGGATGTAGTGCAGTTTATTTAGTCATAATTATCCTAACATGTACGGTCTACCTCAACCTGCAGCGGAACGAGGTCGTGCTGAGGACCCTCCAGTATACTTACCAGCATCCGAGAACAAGAAGTCTGCATACAACATCTACACCAAGACCGTCACACAGTATTCGCCTGTTCATTACAGGTCATTTTGCCACATTTGGAGGAGACAGGCAGCACACATCAAAGTGATGAAGCCAAGGACAGACGTATGCGCACTGTGTGACAATCTGCGGTACAAAATCCGTGTCGCCCGCACAGAGGAAGAGACGGAATGTAGTGTCCAGGCCCTGCGTTCGCACATATTGCTAGCACAAGAGGAGCGGCAGTACTACCGAGATTTAGTGGACGGCGCGCAGGCGTCACTGGATGAAGCTGAGGGCATAGTTCACTATACATTTGAACTGCCTAACTAGCAAGAATGAAGATATACAAAGAACATTACATACTGTGTACATAAATTTGCTCTACTGTAAAACGACAAACTTTCGCGACTTTCGCGAGCAGGGTCGAATCGCGAAAGTTTGACTCGCGAATATGAAATTTTGTACTATTACGTACTATGCGATGCGTCGATGATCGATCGTTTTGCGCCACAGATCTGTACAGTACATGCGCGCATGCATCACTCACTGCACTGACTGTACATTCACAGCGCTGATCGATGCTTGCACAGCCGGCTATGTCCAACCAGAGCGCGCAGCTGTTGCAACGACGGGTTACGTACCAACACCAGTCTTGCAAGTAACCGTTGAAACATTCGTTGTCGTTGGAGTACGGCGACTTGAACCAGAAGAGAATAAAACGATCGACTGGAGAATGTCTCAGTGATGTGGAGAGTGTTGTTGAACTTCTTGGAGCGTTTGGCCAGCTTGCTGTTGCGTAGATTTTAGTGTTGTACTGCTCGAAGAAGTCTTCTGAATTTTATCGCGATGAGTATCGCAGTGGCTCAGCAGTTCAGAGGAAGCCTTCCGATGATCCCTCTCCGAACGTGCCATCCTTTCTCCCAGTACTAGTACCAGTGCTGCCAAATCGTCCGATTTTTCGGACAGTGTCCGATTTTTGAAGGCTCTTCCGAAAACCGGTCCAAAAAGGGAAACGTCCGAAAAGCAGCAAAAATGTCGGAGATCATTACTTTCCTATGCAGAAGTCCTGTACTTTCACTTTTCAGCGCAACTGAAGGCACAAAATCACTGTACATTTGCTTCTAAAAAGGCTAGCGCTTGGCTGTGTAAGTGCAAAGTAACATGCCTGGATCAGGCTGGATGGCATGTACACTGACAGTCTGTACAGAGTCAGTGTGCGACCACACTCATCATTACAAAATTCATGACAACTCTGGGGTTACCATGGCAACGAAGCGAATTTTCATGGTGTTTTAGGCGATATTTTGAATTCTCTGTAAAAAATTGCCGAGGAGAAAAATTCGCACCATGTGGCCAGCCTTGGCGGTGAAGGGTGTCCGATTTTGGGCGAAAATTATTTGGCAGCACTATAGTACATACCTTATGGTTCTCTTTGATGCCTTGATTCCTTCTAACATTCCTTGATTCCTTCTTTCATTCTTTGATTTCTTCTCTCATTCTTCATGCGCTCTGCACCCAGCACTCCGAGGCTTCGTAAAATAAAATTCCTTGATTTTCGGTGGAAGGTAAAAATCGCTAAAATTAATCGCCGCTAACTGGTCCAGTTTGCCAAAACGCTAAATTTAGCCGCCGCGAAAGTTTGTCGTTTTACAGTATATCGCTCAATTGATATGCCATTATTAAATAGGTGGTTAGGCACATTTTACCATCGCAGATCAACTTGAAATTTTGTTTGAGCACATTACCATACCATACCAACATTTTGAGAGAAAAAAAATTTCCCCAAAAAGTGCCATAGGGTGGTTTCTGTAGTCCCTGGCTCAAATACTGATTATAAAATACTCCTTTTAAGGGAAAAGTGGAGTGCTATAATGGAAAAGTGCAGTGGTATTTATTGAGTCAAAGCAAATTTATTTGAATTTGATACTGTTGATCGTGTGGTCACTAATGAGTGTGGGTATTTATCAAAGGTCAATATATTTTGCAGTTTTGCTATCCCATGTGGGGTCTTTGCAATGTGAGCACTGTACCTATGTGACAAAATGGCTGAACGAAGAGTGATCAACAAGGTCAGATTGAGCTGCACATAAAGTCGAGAGAGGGTAAATAGTTGCAACTCTGTCCATGCCAACATCAAGGCCTGATTTGTACATTCCTGATCACTTAGAGCATGCAGGAAAATCAGATATAAAAGGGGGTTTGTCAACTGACAACCACTCTATTTAGTTGCTATTCACTCTTCTTTCATTAATGATGTTGAAAAATTGTTGGCGTTTCGGGCCAGTCACCCATCGTCAGAACAATGCCCAAGGAGCGAACCTGGCCTTTTATAACGAAAGTAAGCAAGAGTGTATGTAAAAAAACACACACACAAAAATCAGAGTTGTAACAAAACTTCCTCTCCCCTGCTGCATACTAGCATTTGCTTCATGTTCCAGTTTGTGTACTTCGGTTCATTTTCAGGTCAGCAATGGAGCTGAAGTGGATGTGGATTGCGGAGGCTTGTGCCCAAATCTCTGTCCACAAGGTGCAAAGTGTAATGTGGACTCTGACTGTGCTACTGGCAGCTGCTTAAAAACACTAAAGCGGTGCAGAGCGCGTAAGTGTTCACACAGTGGCAATGGATTCCAATTGTGTGAGGGTATGAGAACGGGAAAGGTCTGACTGGAAAACTTGACTGTCGCCACCACCACCACCACCCTAACCTGGTCAAGAGGACAGTGATGGTCCAGCACTAATCTATTATACCCTTGTTGTGCTATAGTTGCTTGCCCAACAGCGCTAGCAGGGATCTTTTGCAAATTTCTTCGTGCTTGGAAACTCACTTTTCCATTCTCCAGCACTAATCTACACAATATATTTGCCACAGTGGGAATTCTAGCAGTGGTAGCAGAGATCTGTTTCACATTTCTTCAGGCTTGGAAAGTCACACTGCCTGTGTGTTGTGTTGTGTGTTTGACTTGTGTAGTTGGACAATCTGCAGCTTATCCGGCATCAAGTTGCCAAACAGTTACTTATAACACAAGTGGTATAGCTTGGGTTAAGTGGGCCGGTGCTACTGGTGGATCTGCGCAGGTAGGTACATTTGTTGTTGCTATAGACATTCTACTGCGACAAGTACCAAAACGGGATTTTTGCCGGATAATAATTGTCGGTATGGAGACAATAATTTGGATAAGTCTATGAACAGTACCAAATGCGCACTCCTGCCATTACTAGGGTGACATGGTGCTAAAACTTAGAGAATTCCCGGTGTGAAATTAGTGTGTATTTCAATGCTTGAACATGAAATGGTGCGCATTTCATGATTTGTTACAAATACACTGGTTTCACTTGACGGACATGCATGCACTTTGATGAAGTGCTTGCATTGAAGTCCTGTATTGTCTGCGGTTTTGGCTACTTAGCTTTGAAGTAATGGGCTGTGGAGTCTACTAGTGTAATAGCCGGGAGCTAACACTAGTACATAATCATTGAGCAGAACCTGAATGGAATGTATGCATGTGTGAAGGTGTGTATACATGTACCTGTGTCTTAGCCCCATCCCTCACACAAACAAGTCAACAAAGAGGCATCTTTGGATTGAGGAGTGCTGGTTTCGAAACAACTGGTTTGAAGCTCAAAGTAGAGCTGCTGTTAGCTCAGAGCAGAGCTGCTGTTAGCTCAGAGCAGAGCTGCTGTTAGCTCAAAGTAGAGCTGCGGTTAGCTCAAAGTAGAGCTACGGTTAGCTCAAAGTAGAGCTGCGGTTAGCTCAAAGTAGAGCTGCTGTTAGCTCAAAGTAGAGCTGCTGTTAGCTCAAAGTAGAGCTGCTGTTAGCTCAAAGTAGAGCTGCTGTTAGCTCAAGGTAGAGCTGCTGTTAGCTCAAAGTAGAGCTGCTGTTAGCTCAAAGTAGAGCTGCGGTTAGCTCAAAGTAGAGCTGCGGTTAGCTCAAAGTAGAGCTGCTGTTAGCTCAAAGTAGAGCTGCTGTTAGCTCAACGTAGAGCTGCAATGCTAAATGGATGTAATATAGCGCAAGGCAGAGCCGCAGTAAATAGCTAGATAACACCAGTTGTGAGAGTGGACCCGATTAGGGGTACGATAATTATGATGGTGTGAATAAGTTGGATAGGGAGGGATGGTGGGAAAAGAAACACTGCTGAAGCACGATCCGTTGTCTGGAAGAGCACAACAGGGCAAGCAAGATTTGTTTTTCTTTTCCGCAAAATGGGCTGGTGCCATTTGTGATTATGCAGCAAAACAAAGCGCATGACGTCAGTCTTGAATGCAGTACAAAGCAATGCAGTGCAGTGTGTGCGCTAGTTCGGATTGTTGCTAACAAGTACTAGCACAGCTAGTACACCATAATATGTCTGTGTACATATTCGCACAAATTTGTGGATATCCTCAACTGTGTGAATATGCATGTGTGATTGTATGCATGAATGCAGACTTATTGTTTGTTGGACAAGTCAATCGATGGTGGTGGATGGACCATGGTATGGAAGCACTCTTACTTTGAGGTGAGGCCATATTCTTATGGGACCCTATGATACGGATATGCGGAGCATGTTATTCTGTGGATAAATGCGCTAGGGTGAGGGTGTACCCTTCAACGTTAGTTCTGTGCTTTGATTAGCAGGGCGTATTGTGGGGTCGTCCAAGGGGTTCGAATAAACTATTTACCCTTACATGTTGACATTGGTTCTTGTCTGACCACCAATGGATGCAAAAAAGGTTCGCACGAAAAGGAAAAAGACATGTCTTGCATGACACATTGCCAGGACGAACAAGGCAAACTTCAACATTCTGCAGCCGTTGCGTTGCCGGTGTTGGGGTGGCAGTTCCGTTATTGAGGCCGTGCGCGTCGTCGAGCTCGGCTAGCCGCCCCCAACCAGTCAGCACAACCTCGGCCACGCGCTCGCATCAGCTCCATGCCCGCGTTGACGGAGCTCCGGGTGACTAACCAGCTGAACAGCTGCCAGTCGCACTCAACACTGGCCGTCCGTGCGCTCTCATCCCTCGCTCCTGTTACGGAACCTCAGCCATTCCGTTCCCCGCGACGCAAGACACAAAGGACAGGACTAGTTTGGTTTACATTATATATTTGACTTGACGGAAATTCAAGACTACACTGAAAGAGACGAACAAGAAGACTGACAAAAAGACTCTCGACTACAAAATCGCGCATGCTCATATCACACATGCACGCGACTAGACGAGACAGTTTGGGGAATGCCATCACACAGGAAAACAACACATCATTTCATAACACCTGCCCCCTTGATGACATTCCACAAAATAATAAACGGACACCACGTTCCACATGCACAACAGCAAAAGGAACCACAGCAAAACAGAAAAACCAAGAGCCGATGCTCTAAAATAAAATCCGGGCCACGACACAGGGCCAAACAAAACCTAGAGCCAACGCTCTAAAACCAGGCCAGGACACAGGGCCAAACGAAAACCTAGAGCCGACGCTCTACAAACCAGGCACACACGGCCAACCGAAACACGAGAGCCGAAGCTCTCAAAATAATAATACCATGCGCGCAGCAGGGCAAAATAAATCTAAAACACAAAACAATGGAGAACAACAGAACGAATAGAAGAGCAACAGAACGACAACAACCAAACTGAAAGAACACAGCAACAAGCAACGAACTGAACGGCAAGAGAAACACGATCAGACAACACAGCGAGCAAGACAACAAGGCGAACAACAAGGACGACACACAGTCGGTGATGCCAGACTCGTCCACTGGCCTCTGGCGAGCCACGGCCACACGCTCCATCGCGGTTCCTGCCGTCCCAGGCTCCAGTCCACAGTTTTAGTCCACCACCTTCTCTGCCTCCTTTCACTCGTCTCGTCTCGTCTCCCACCAGCTCCTCATCTCCTCCGCTCCCACGCTTACTTCAAGGTCATTTTGTTGTTGACGACGAAGACGAACAGACTCATGAAAAACTAACTCATCCTCTGCGTCCCGGGTTTCGGCACCACGTTGTTACGGAATCTCAGCCATTCCGTTCCCCGCGACGCAGGACGCAAAGAACAAGACTAGTTTGGTTTACATTATATATTTGACATGACGGAAATTCAAGACTACACTGAAAGAGACGAACAAGAAGATTGACAAAAAGACTCTCGACTACAAAATCGCGCATGCTCATATCACACATGCACGCGACTAGACGAGGCAGTTTGGGGAATGCCATCACACAGGAAAACAACACATCATTTCATAACACTCCATTCACTCCTTCACTCCATTTGATAAAAACTGTTTGCTCTCCACTTTGCTTCGAAGAAAGGACACTTGCCGTCAGGCGAAATAGCACGTCATCGTACATTTGAGATCAGCGGGAAGAAGATGACGACGTCCACTAATTTAGTATCTGTGCACACGAATCTGCTGTGTGTGTGACTCTGTGTGTCAGCTGCTTGCGGACTTTCGTCTTTAAAAAATCTCAAATATTTTCTGAACAGTACAACACTTTTTTATGCTGAGTAGTACAGCGCTCGGTCTTTTTCTTTCAACCGTCGACCCTGCAGTTGCCTGTGAATGTTGGTGCCACTCTAAAGGCAGTGCTGCAACGCTTCAAAGTAGCAGTGTACAAGTACCTCCTCGAGCAAACTTGTGGGACTGCTGTCGACGACGTGTACACCACAGACTGGCATACTACCTGATGGCCTAACTCTTTCTTCTTTCTTTCTTTTTTACCCCCCCCCCCCCCCCTGGTGCGCGTTGTGTGCAAGGATACGGAGACCTCTGGTCGGAGGAGTCGACAACGCCACACCTACACAGCTGCGCTAGTGGATACTAGCAGTCAGCCCAGACTGAATAGTTGTTTTTTGTTCTGTCAACCCACAACTTCTGTGTTCTAGTCGTTTCTTCGTTCTCCCTGCACTCAACTTTGTCATCTTTCTTGTCCTTATATTTTTGTCTCGAGCCGGGTTTGTGTTCTTTGTAGAAGAAAAAAGCATGTGAGACCAATGGAAGTGTAGCCACTAGTGTTGAATATTTGACAAGCAATGTAGTGACTTGGAAATCTCCTTCACTACTGGAAGCATCTCTCAGCACCGGTGATGATGATGATGAAGAAATGATAGATAAAGAATTGCAGGAAGCCTGCATGCCGAAGGAACCTACAGAAATTTAGTCATCATCTGTCAGACCAGAGGGCATTATTCGATCCATTTATTTGGGTGACATACATTAAGTATATGTAGAGCAGGTGTTCGAGAAAGAACCAATCAGTTTGTCGGTGGCAGCAACATCTATATAATCCTTGTGCCATGAACTACTGGACACCGGATGCACACGTGTAATGTTATACCTGCAGACTGTGGTAATAGAGGACTCAGGTGTACTTTAATGCTGGGAAAGTGCTATTGAATTTTATATACTAATTAATAATATTGGTACAAGCTGGTTTTCCAACCTTGGTATTGCTATGGGAAACTTGCACCATAACAAATTCAAGTTCATATATTTATTATGACGAGGCTACAGAGGAGTAACTCCATTCTCATAACAAATTCATCACCTTTAAAGATTCAGTATATGTCATCATACTGACATAAGAACACACTTTAGTCAGGGTGGGAGAAAACTGACATCCCTTCCCTCTTGTCTGAAATCTTAGATGCGTCCCTGACTAGAATACAGCTACCTGTTTTGTGATGCTTCGTGTAAGTTAGCTCACAGAATGGCACAAGCTAGCCAACACATCATAGCGACGGCCAAGGCACAGTAGAACAGAACGGAACACTACTGATGCCAGCAGACATGAATTTTCTCTACCTCACAGACTAGATTTTAACTCTGAATGCCTGCCTTTGGAATCCCGGCGCTTTCTGTATCATGCTCCTCATACAGGGACCTTACAAAACCCGCATCAACGATATGCGTACATACAGCAGTTACTATCAGCCATGCCTGGGTGTACCCACATCGACAGGAACCTGGTGCAACATTCCCAACAAGGTACAGACCGGTTACAAGGAGCAGATGGTCAGTGCTTACTATAACGGCAAGCTGATCTTCGCCTACAAAGACAATATCAATTCTCAGCTGGGAAAGTCCAATCCAGGTATAGTATATTACGATCTCTGCTGACATTTTGTTCAATGTTAGTCCGACCAACCAATTTAAGGTCTGGTGACGGGTTGGAAGTTTTTGGTCTTTTAGAGAGCATGTCTGAGAAAATGAAACAATGTGTGTAAGTCGATCTCTCCAGCTTCGCTCAACATTTGCAGGTAGGTTTCCTTTGGGGTGTAGATTGACTGTGCAAAGCCCTTGAAAAGTTTCTGAAGGCTACCTTGGAATCGGAATACCCCTCAAAAATGGCCGAAAATCACGTGATTTATGGATCTACAAAAGAGTCACGCCACAGCATACATGAACAAGCTACGAACAAAACTCCATCAATCCCACATTGCCTCACTTTAGAAGAGTTCCTGGGACAGCACCCCTTCGCCACGTCAGCATCCCAGAAGACAAGGGCCATCACCCCCTGATGCCACAAATGATCGTCTTGAAAATAGCCAAACTACAAGCGCTGATAAAAATCTGACTTAGCTATGTCCTCAATTAGCAAGAACTATACACCAGCAGATAGTAGAACACCTCTTCTAGCACTGAGAACATGTCCCCCATCATCCTTTTTGGCTTTTCTTGAAATACAAAATGTTGAATTTTCAACTCCACCATGCTGAAACACGTCCAAGCTCATACCTGCGCAGGAAAGCTCGGCCCTCCGCGATGTCTAGTCAGCAATTTCTACTCCAACAATACTCCCAACGCTGCAGAACAAAGTGTCTTGTTGACTCTGACAAGGAAAAGCAGCGGTGATCACTTATCAGTCAAAACGAAAAGCTTCTCCTTGCGCCACCAACATTTTTCGGTTCAACAGTTGATGCCAAAGTGACTGACGTTTTGCGTGCAGTTTTCGAAATTTACGGCAAGAGGAACGGTGAAATTGTAGGATTCCCTTTCCTAAGACAAGATTCCCATTCTCAGGTTTCACCAGGCACCCAAATTGCTCATATCGATAGTAAAACTTGTCATAGAGGAGAGGAGAGAGAAAGGCAAGAAGCATGTGAGCATGCGCGGCTCACAAGGCCAGCGATTCGTCACGTGGACAGGAGCAGGAAATACGAAATACAAATGTAAGAAATAACAATTGTCATGCAATGATTACAGTAATACTCAAGTAATCATTGACCTCTACTACAAAATCACGTGCCTCGTGATGCAAGAATGCCAGGTCTCGTGGATCGGCATGATCACGGTTCAAGAGTCTTTTTTAGTCACCTTGATCAAGCGCATGTGCACTTACTTCGTTAAGCAAAACTTCGTTGCGTTTTTACAGTTCAATCCAAATCATTCTATGGCTACGAACACACTTTGCAAAGTGGAAAACAAGGCAGCATATGAAAGATACTTATTTACAGATGTCACACAGCTTGTTTCAAAGCAGTCCAGCTTCACTCGTCGTCTGAATCTGATGACGACTCACTCCCTGATGACATCGAGTCTGCATCCTCGCTGACTTTCGCCGCCAGCGCTGCCATCTTTTGTTCCGCAGCCTTTACAAGTTTCCAAGACACGATTATTTTGATCGTGGAGATCGCCAAGTTCTTCGCTCGAACTGTGAGCTTGACGACCTCCACGGTGGCGCTGGTAGTTGTGGCCACTCTCCGGAACGCCATGGAAGGAGCCATACAGACCCAAACAACTACTACTCAATCTGCGGACAGCATGCTGTTTCGTTCTTTGTGAACTCATCAGCGCAGCACAGAGGAAACCAAACAAACGCTCCCCATCTTCGCAGCTGTGTAGTCGTGCCAGCACGTTTCCACTCCCTGCAGAAGCTCCTTTCTGGTTTCCTTCGCCACGAGTGACACGTCTGTCTACAGGCTGTGGAAGAACGCCAAGTCGTCGACGTTGAGATCAGGATTTTGCGCCGACTGCCATCGGAACGTCAACCTGAATGTCGAACGCTTTTGATTTCCCCTGCGCTGCAAACACAAGTGCATTGATTTTGGCTCTGTGCGGATGCGCACCATCGACTCGTGCTAGTACAGCAGTGCCTGAGCGCTGGCCGACTCCTGGACACTTTCTTCGAGCCACACGGTCTTTCAAACTGTTTCTCATTTTCGCACTTTGGTGTCATGCACGCGCGCCTGGGGTTGTGTTCTGGTGACATCCTGTCGAAAAACGGTTCTGCTTCGCCGGTTTTTTCAAAGGACTCCACGCTTTTCGGAGGTTCAAAAGCTTGTCAGAACAATGGACGACAGCTCAGCTACCCTATGTAGGGGATAGATCACTGATATGTATGTCTAATGCCGATAGAAATATCATGACAAGAACACTAAAAACGCAACGAAGTTTTGCTTAGCGGAGGAAGTACATGGATCGCCTGTTGATCTAGATTGGATCAAGTGCTCAAGAGCACGCTGATCGTGTTGTAGGCCTTCCAACTGGGACTTTCCCAGAACATGCAGAACAGAGACTATCAGGAAATCACGTTGTTCATGACGTAAGAAATCTGCCAAGTGGGCACACCACATATCCGCATGCAGCCAGTGTAGTCCGCGCGCTGGTCAACTCCAGGCGACCTTGATGGCATGCTCGACGGTCATTCCTTGCCGTCTGCAGTCTGGGTCTAGCATCAAGTGTAAACCAGCCACGGTTACTGTTGAACCATGTTCGGGATGAGCGAGGTTAGTATAAAAAAATTGCGTACCTGTTCTTACTGCAAGAGGATATAATGAGAAGTAACTCTGAGGCATCTTGCAGCTTCATCCGTAGAGAGTAGTTGGGTGGACACACCCATTCCCAAAGCACTGCAAACCGAACCAATTCTTTTTCGTACAACGTTTCAGCAATATTGCCATCGTCAGGTGCAAATGAAAACAATGATGGCATGCAGGCCAAAAAAGGAGCAGTTTTATGCCAAAGTCCTAGCGCCAAAACTGCATAATCTCGCGCAACTTCAGTGGAAGAGGTGTAGGTGAGACATTTAGCGTCAGCACCAAAACATAAACATATCGTGACAACAAAAATCCTACTGGTATACCTCCAAACACAGCATGATCCAGCGCCATAAGAATAACAGATATAGCGAGTTGAGCGGCAAAGGTGTAGGTGAGATGTTCAACACCAGAACCAAAGCATATTGGGCCCTAGGGCTGAAACGATCGTGGATTTTCACGTGTCGATTACTCTTTAGCTTAACGATCAATCGTTAGCAAATAGAGTCATAATTCTGTGCAAACATTACTCTGTTTCCACAAACTATGCCTTCATAATACCAACAAATCTGCATTAGTGAAAGGGTAGCTCCGAAACATGGCAGTTTTGAAGTCAATTAACCTCAGAACATGAACCATGCATACCCCTGGCAACTGCATACTCCCAGCGGAAACTGATTCAAACTTCACAAAACGAGGGTTTACAGTACTTTCTAGTGACACATTTTTAAAAACGCAAAATAATCGTAATCGGTAATCTAAACGATTGCTCGATCGTTAGAGTTATCAAACGAGTACTCAATTATTCGGTATAATCGTTTCAGCCCTAAAAAAATTGATCTGGGTGGTGACGCAACAGGCTGGCAAAGTGGTCAGCTAGCAGTGGGGTGTATGCAGAGTGTTTGGGAAAGAAGCTCCGTACAGAGTCAAACAGTTCAGTAGCCATTTTACTGGGAGAGGCAGACACCCCGCTCCTGATCAGACCACCCGGACTCTCCTCGCTCTGCCTTGTCGGCTAGGGGGCATGGGTCTAATCAACCCGTGCGATCTCGCCAGCCAGTTTGATGACTCCAGGACCATCACGCAGCCATTGGTGGAGCAGATCATCGTGAAAAACACGGGCCTAGGCGATGTTCACCACACCATGACGACAGGGAAGGCGAAGGTGCACAGGATCCACTCTGTAAGGGAGAAGGAAACCCTGATCGCTGTGGAAGTGAGCATCGCTTCGTACTTAAAGCGATCCTGGGAGCTGGCAGCAGAGAAGGGTGCCTCGTCGTGGCTGACATGCAAACCACTGAAGATGTTTGGCTTCATGCTACCCAAGGGCGCATTGTATGATGCGGTTTCATTGCGATATGGCTGGCCTCTGAAGCGGTTGCCATCTGCTTGCAGCTGTGGTAAATCATTCACCGTGGCCCATGCTCTCTCCCGCTTAACCGGCGGCTACCCTATCCTCCGCCACAAGGAGGTATGCGATCTCACAGCATTTAACATGAAGGAAGTTGCGCACCAAGTTGCGGTGGAACCGCTGCTAGAGCCGCTGACAGGTGAGAGGATGACGCTACGGTCGGCTTCAACTGAAGACAACGCCCGCCTAGACATCGGTGCCAGTGGAGTCTGGGGAGGTCGGTAGGAACATTCTTACTTTGATGTCCGGGTTTTCAACCCCCACGCCCCCACCAACGCCAAGTTGCCTTGCCCGCTGTGTACAAGCGACATGAGCAGGAGAAGCGTCGCCGCTACGAGGAACGGATCACCAACGCCGAGCACGCCTCCTTCTCACCAGTTGTCCTGTCCTGCACTGGAGGGTATGGCAAAGCTGCGACAGCACTCTATGCTCGGCTGGCATCGATGCTCGCCGACAAGAAGCTGGAGCCGTACTCTGCCAGAATCTCCTACATCCGATGTAAGCTCAGCTTTGCCCTCATCCGTGCTGCTGTTGCCAGTCTGCGAGGCCATCGGCACCGAGTGCCCTCAAATGCAAACGACTCGGCCCGATTTGCTGTTGCCATGAGCAGCATCGGTTCAAGCTCCCTTACGAGGTTCCATACTAGAATGTTTTCACAGCCATTTTTGCTCTCTCGACTGTCTTCACAGCCACTTTTGCTCTCTCGACTGTTTTCACAGCCATTTTTGCTCGTTTTTCTTCCGGTGCTGTTGAGGTTGCACTCGTAATTGTGTATATTTTTCCCGTACAAGAGGCCTGGTTATACTTTTTTTTTAAATGTTCGTGGAAACAGGTGCAAGAAATTCGAAATTTTAACCAGGGATTAGTTTGCTGTCGTTCCGAAAGAATACCTTGGCGAGGTCTTTCACTCTGGAATAGCAAAAGCACGGCGAAAATGAGTTTTCGCTGTTCCCAGGTCCTTGGAAAACCTTTCCTAAACGCAGCACAGAAGACTGTAAGGGTCCCAGCTCCAGCACGTCTGAGAGAGGCTGTTATGAAACCACAAGTTCTCAAGAGTGAAAGGCCTTCTCGCTTGTAACATTGTGTTCGTTCTCAATGCAGTTGTATCTCGACTCCGCCGTACCGCTGATGTTTAAGACGTGGTATACGCTACAGGCGCTATGTGCGGTTTGCTGTGTGCGCTGTAGTTGTATGTTGTGTGTGTTTGCTTTTCTGATATACGCTGTCATTTTCACGCTATAACTACCTGGTGGTTATAGTGTTACTTAGTTGATCATTATTAATTATGTTGATCGAAGTGAAATATACTGTCAAGAGTAAATAGTTGTCCTCGTGCCGTGTGGTCGTTCGTTCCTGACTTTAAGAGAATCTCAGAGGGTTCACAACAGAGGCCGATGAATTTCTTCCTCAGGAGTGCCGTGGAACCGGTCCTTTTTTCCCAGATGGGATAGAGGGTGAAAGGCACGAAGCAGAGGACGCAGACATTGTCAACTGAAAGGCAAAACTCGCCAAAAAAGCTAAATGTCACAAGAGGAAGCAATCTCGACTCTCATCTCGATCTGCACGTGCTGTTTAAATCCCGCCAGTTACAAAACAATGCGAGTTTTTGCATTTTTTGCAAAATTACCATAACGAACGTCGGCCCGTTATTTTGAGCTCTGTAACGTTTTTCCGTTACCCGATAACGTCTTTTGTCACGGCTGGGAGTGAGCACCGTAAAAGTTAGCGTTATCGTACTTTTCCTAAGGATGTCTATTATGCTGTTTTGGCGCTAGGACTTTGGCATAAAACTGCTCCTTTTTTGGCCTGCATGGCATCATTGTTTTCATTCGCACCTGACGATTGCAATATTGCCGAAACGTTGTACGTAAAATAATTGGTTCGGTTTGCAGTGCTTTGGGAATGGGTGTATCCACCCAACCACTCTCTAAAGAGGATATATCTCAAAGAATTCTTGCCCATGCAATATTGATAGTGCTAAAATTACAATCTCTGCACGTTCTGAGCAGATTATGTAGGAAATGTATCATGTGTGAACCTCCTCCATCGTGGTCCGTTTCGAATAGCGGATTAGAAATGATCCTGAACGTGTGCATAGTGAAGTGATCCAGAATGCATTTTTCTACGTCATGAAGCACGTGATTTCACCGTTCCCCTTGCCGTGAAATTCAAAAACTGCACCCAAAACCCAGTTACTTTTGAACCAACTATCGCACCGAAAAATTTCGGTGGCGCAAGGAGAAACTTGTCGTTTCGAGTGACAAGTGATCACCGCTGCTTTTCTTTGTCAGAGTCAAAAATACACTTTGTTCTGCAGCGTTGGGAGTAGTGTTGGATTAGAAATTGCTGACTAGATGTCGCGGAGGGGCGAGCTTTCCTGCGCTATAGTATGAGTTTGGACGTATTTCAGCATGGTGGAACGGAAAAATTCAACATTAGGGAGGTTCCGGAGTACGATTTTTCGTGCCAAAATCCGTAGAGGCGCTACGGATTTTCTATACGTCGTTTTCGAGCAGTGAAATGTTCCGGAGTACGGAACTTATGTGTTTGCCGTCATTGCCTAGGTTACGATCGCAAACATGTCACATTCCCGCGCTATGCCTTTTTATTTTGAAAATTTGTACAGAAATCAAAACTTCCCGCCGAAAATCCATCTTTCTCGTACCAAATTTGTACGCAAAAAATCTTTCTGCACCCGATGACGCAAAATCTCCATACGAAACATGGTTCGTGTGAAAGCCAGTCCACACGGATTCTCCGTGCCGAAAATCGTATGGAGCACGCCTGGAAAAAATCCGTAGCGCCCACACGGATTTTGGCACGGAAAATCGTACCCCGGAACCTCTCTATTGTGTATTTCAAGAAAAGCCAAAAAGGATGATGGGGGACATGTCCTCAGTGCTAGAAGTGGTGTTCTTCTTAGTGCTGAAACGATTACGGTTTTTCCTTAGTGGCTTAGCTGATACCATAACGATCGGCCTATTGGCTAAACGATTATTATTGTAACTACATCAGTACATTGTACATTCTGTGAATTTCAAAAAAAATTACGAGTCCAACATCGCCAACGACGGAAACCGGGCGCATAGATCCGATGATCCCGCAACAAGTCCGTCAGCTGTTCGGACTGACCAGACGAATACAGACAAGACAGAGGCAACTCACTGGTTGCAAGCCAAGAGCTGATGGTGCCCTTCGCCTGTGACTTCGCTGACTCCGACGATGAAGTCAGAGAAGCCGGCCAGGGGTGCAGATCGGCGGATTTCGACGGATGAGCTGACGTGAGGCATACCAACAAGTAACTAGTTGCTTTTCCTGTCTATGCTCAAAATAGACCCAGACGCCAGGCCTAGCTCGTCGTCGAGCAAACTGGTTCGGAAAACATGAAACTGAAGACCATTTTACTGTCTTTAGCTCAAGACTACTCGCACGTGGAGGGAACTCCAGCCCCTGCAGCTAGTGTAGACACATACTGAGCCTGCCCGTCCTACATGCTGTATGTACCGGTAATTGTAAGAAAAGTAGTCAGCTCAAAAGATGGCGACGGTGATCGCGTCGATGTTTCTCAGGCTGCATTTACACGACAACGATTGAAAACGATTTGTGTTTACACGACAACAAAATACGACCTAAACGGAACGAAATCGTTGCGTTTACTACTATCATTTACACGACAACGCCCGAAAACGATACCTTAACGGAACGAGATGGAAACGCACTTCAAAGTGTTTTGAAACGTTTTTCAAAACGTTTTCGTTCTCGTGTAAACGGTGAAAACAGTGAAAACGACTGGAAACGGAGCGCGGTCATGGAAACCATTCCGCGCTAGCGTATATTTCGCGGGAAATACCCAACCCTTGTGGTCACCAGCACGTAACAGTACTAATTGCCGCTATTTTGGAAGACTCAGCTCCAAAGATGTACATGTGGTAGAAGACGACCAAACAATCAGGACCAAATGGCTTACCCCATCCTCACAGAGTTTTTCAGTGATTTTTCTCGCCCATTGTGTTGTGTACACTTGAATGTCGTGTTATTGCTTTCACAGGTGTATTTCTGAAAGCGACCAACAAGGTTGTTGATCTATGCACACGCTCTAACGGCATTCGGCCCAGTTACTCTACAAACAGCCATGCTACATCAGGTCAGTCGCTTTAATGTTTCTGGATTCAGAGCTGCAGTCTACTACTCTAGGTATATTGTGTTGAGATTTGATACTATAAAACAGAGAGGTACCAGGCTGTCCAAGAGTGTGCTCAATACCGAGAGGCAGAGCTGGTTCAAACAATAAAAGGACAGAGAAAGTGTTTTTACTCCAAATTTCACGCACTAAGCGATCATCAGAAAACAGTAATGAGAAATCTGGATCAGTATTGGTCAATATACTCACAACGCAAAGTGTAGATGGCGCAAATCTAAATTGTGAATGGCGGCAGTGCAAAGCGTAATTGACTGCATCATGGGGCAAATCTAAAAGTACGAATGATAGCAGTGGTGAAAGGTGACAGCCACTGGAGCCGGTTGTCTCTTACTTAATTAGGTGATGCCTGTGGATGGTTTGAAGTTCCGAAGGTAGTACTACCTCCGACAAGCGAAACTTGGCACGATTTTTTACTTCAAATTACTCGAAATAACTCACACTTTACAATCAAAACTAATGATTGACTCGCCAACATTCAACTTTGTATTGCTCAACAAGGACATTAGAGACATCTGTTAGGCTGAACAACTCTCCTCTGAGTCAGAGATCGCAGTTTCTTCTGGAGAGGAATTGTCCCTGTTTTGAGACGAAAGTGCGACTAGAGCGGATTCAGTTGCAGCAAGTACCTCGGTTGTAATCGCTCTGAAAATCTCGATGTCGCTCCTGTGTGCTGTGCTCGAGCCACGGTGTCGAGCGTAGTCGTTTCCGCCGCCACTATCCAGATTGACGTGGTAAGAACTGTGCAACACCTCCAAAAGCGCCTGGACTCCAACTGTTTTGCAGGATATTCTCGCCAACTTTCCAAAATTGCCTGCAGCAGTTCCTGGCGATTTTCCTTAGCCACCAGAGACGCATCGCTCTAGTGGCTGTTGAAAGAGGCTAGGATTGTTTGGCATGGATGCATGGACTCTATGCTGGCGGAGTGACCAAGAGGAGAGAGAGAGAACTCCTTGGTTTTGCATTGCAACGCGAAAGCACGACAATTCTCCTTCGCAGAATGGACGCGCGCACAGTTTTGCTGGTACACGAGAGACACGCTTGCCTCTGACTAAGTCTTAGCCATGCGCCACTCACCAGCTCGTCGCTTGGCTTCCTGCACCCGGTTGCATGGAGCTACAAGACTTAGTACTAAGTAGGTCGTACCTCACGGCCTTGTGAAGTAGTTTTGGTACCAACACAAAAATCCAAAAAAACGCGCCAAGTTTCGCTTGTCGGAGGTAGTACTAATTCTCGTGGCAACACTTTACACAAGCTCACTCCTCTTGTTGAGAGAGAGGTGCTTGTGTGCTTGCGCGGTTGCCAATTTTTGCGCCAGGCACAGGTTGCACCATTTGCTTTTGTTTCTGTAGGCCGCTGCTCTGCGGTGTACCACCCATTGAATGCTGCATGCCTTCCCTTCATCCTTCTTGGCCCAGACGTACTGCAATAGGCAGTTGTCCTTCTCGTGTTGTCTGTGGCGGAATGATGATTGGTGGCTATAGTAGCGTTGTTTGAATGTTGTCGCTGTTAATCCCGTGTACTCCTTCTTCTCCATACCTGCGGTGACTCTTGCCTTATACACGATGCTCTCCGTTAGACATGCTCCGTCCAGTGGAGACGAGTCTTTCGCCCGACAGTTACAAGTCCTGGTGTCGTTGTCACCTTCGTTGGCTTGTTTCTTGGGTCGTAGAATCGTGTTATTGTGTTGTTTGATGATGGTGGCCATATTCTGCATGCAACTGTAGCTAACGTTTACCGAGTTCCGGTTGAAGATTTTGTTGAGGCTTGAGCCTTTGGGGAAGTGCTTGGCCACTAGCTGGAGGAAGCGATGTCCAACGTCGGTGTCGACATGTTTGCTAAATGGTGGATTGAACCATATGATGTTCCGGTGGCGATTTTTTTCTTCTTCTTTTTTTCTCGCCCGTTTTACGCTCGTCAAAATACTGGACGTTCTCCCAGTATCCACTCTCCCTCAGCGCGTCACTGTAGATCGGAGTCGCAAAAGGAATCTCCACCGGAACATCATAATTATGGTACAATCCACCATTTAGCAAGAACGTCGCCACCAACGTCGGACATCGCTTCCTCCAGCTAGTGGCCAAGCACTTCCCCAAAGGCTCAAGCCTCAACAAAATCTTCAACCGGAACTCGGTAAAAGTTAGCTACAGTTGCATGCAGAATATGGCCACCATCATCAAACAACACAATAACACGATTCTACGACCCAAGAAACAAGCCAACGGAGGTGACAACGACACCAGGACTTGTAACTGTGGGGCGAAAGACTCGTGTCCACTGGACGGAGCGTGTCTAACAGAGAGCATCGTGTATAAGGCAAGAGTCACCGCAGGTATGGAGAAGAAGGAGTATACTGGATTAACAGCAAAAACATTCAAACAACGCTACTATAACCACCAATCATCATTCCGCCACAGACAACACGAGAAGGACACCCGCCTATCGCAGAACATCTGGCGAAGAAGGATGAAGGGAAGGCATGCAGCATTCAATAGGTGGTACACCGCAGAGCAGCGGCCTACAGCAACAAAAGCAAAAGGTGCAACCTGTGCCTGGCGCAAATATTGGCAATCGCGCAATCAGACAAGCACCTCTCTCTCAACAGGAGGAGTGAGCTTGTGTCAAAGTGTCGCCACGAGAATAAGTACTACTTTCGGAACTTCGAACCATCCACAGCCATCACCTAATTAAGTAAGAGACAACCGGCTCTAGTGGTTGTCACCTTTCCCCACTGCTGTCATTCGCACTTTTAGATTTGCCCGATGATGCAGTCATTTACGCATTGCACTGCCGCCATTCACGACTTTTAGATTTGCGCCATGCTGCAGCTATTTACACTTTGCTTTGTGAGTATATAAACCAATACTGATCCAGATTTCTCATAACTGTTTTCTGATGATCGCTTAGTGAGTGAAACTCGAAGTAAAAACACTTTCTCTGTCCTTTTATTGTGTGAGATTTGCTACTATTCTGCAGAACATTGTGAAGAGGTCATTTGTCCAGACAACACCATAGAAAAAAACACTGGATTAGGTCTCCATAATGTTCTGCTGAATAGTATCAAATCTCACACAATGAAAGGACAGAGAAAGTGTTTTACTCCGAGTTTCACGCACTAAGCGATCATCAGAAAACAGTAATGAGATATCTGGATCAGTGAAGAGGTCATTTGTCCAGACAACACCATAGAAAAAACACTGGATGAGGTCTCCATAAGTGTAACATGATCTCTGCTTACAAGTAAAAACAAGTTACTGATAACCCAAGTGGAGACAATAGTTTGATTATGGCAATGAAAACGATGAACTACGCAATCATTATAAATACGCATCAAGGCAAAGTTGTGATGTGAATCCAACTGATGAATATCACAAGAAAACTTTCTTGGAACTAACCCACCAACTTCGACTTGATGTGTGTTTAGAATGAGCGCGCAGTTAATCTTTCATTGCTATAATCAAGCTACTGATCATGATGATTAGGAATCTGAAACTAGTAAGTGAAACTCACACATTAATAATATCTAGCAACAGGATTAGTGGAGTGGACTTCGGCCAGTAGTAAGCGTGTGAGTAGCGGGATTTGTTAGTATTAACTGTGTGAATATAAGTAAAATTTACTCTGTGAGAAAAGCGGGATCATGGGAGAATATTTTTGCTGTGCACACTGCGACGGCCGCGAAACTGGAAAATCCACAAATCGCACCCATTACGCAGGTATGCAACAGTCGGAACTAGGTGATCGCTGAAATTGAACTTGGCTCACTTTCACGATGCGATAAGCGATGCGAAATGGAATACTGGTATGCTATTTGGATCTTCCATACAGCAAATATTGTATGCTAGGTTCAAAAGAGTTGCAGCAGGATATATACAAGTTGTAACTAGCTAAGCGAATGTCAGGTTGTCGTTCACCCCGCATTGGCCATTGCGCTTTGAGGAATATCAGCATGGCAACTCTGCACCGTTGACTTCACATTTCGCGAGTTGCACTGCACTTCAGGAATCACAGATCAAGTGTTAATGTGCATCTCATCTCAAGATGTGCACTTGTAAATCCCGCTTTTATGGGCTTTTCGCTACTGCAACATACCTTTTTTCACTTCAAAAACACTGCCCCAATGGGGAAGGGAAACCGGGAGAATATGAAATGGGTAATATAGGACAATGGGAAGGTGGGTACTACACGGTAGCTGTGTTGGTGAGTCTGAAGGCACTGCACTGACCATTGGTCTCAGCATGAGTGTGCCATGAGAGCACCAAAAAGGGGACACATGGAAAAGCAGAACAAAAGAAAACAGCCGGATCTTTGTTTTCTTTGTTTTTCTTTTTTCCATGCGTCCCCTTTTTCTGGTGCTCTGGTGGCATGCTAATACTCAGTCCCTCTCTGCCTCACATCTTGCTGGTTGGTGTAGCCCAGACAACTGTGACACTGTCACCATGGCCTGAGCCACACTGTCACCATGGCCTGAGCCACACTGTCACCATGGCCTGAGCCACACTGTCACCATGGCCCGAGCCACACTGTCACCGTGGCCTGAGCCACACTGTCACCATGGCCTGAGCCACACTTGACAGCAGGACGTGAGGTAGAGAGAGGGGACGGGAAAACCCGGACAGTGCAAACAGACTCTAGCCCTATACCTCCCTTCCGTTTCTTCTTTTGATAATGCTTTTTTCCGTGGTTGGTTTCACCCTCCCTTTCTTGTATTGGCTATGTATTATTATGTGTTATGAAGTGGAGACGATAAATAAAATAAAATATATATATCTGAACCCGCCGGTAGCGTGTTTCCTGCAGTCCCTATTGTCCTCAGCCAAATGCAATGTCTGTTGGTCTCATTGATCTTCCATCCCTTCAGTTACCTAAAGCCTCACTGATATTGGTCACCTTTAACAGTCCAGCAGTATCTTCGACTTGGTGCTCTGTCTCCTTTGTACTTCAGGCATTACATTCGACAAGGTCTCACCCACTGTTTATGCATCCAACTGTAATACGGACTGGTCTTACTACCGCACTGATTGTCGCTGGAACGATTGCTACCTGCCAAAGTCTATCTCGCCACGTCTGTATAATACACAGATGACAATGATCATCTGGGTGCGTTAGACAAGTCATGTAAACAGTCCTTTCCCTCTTTTGTTCTGGGTTGTTTTCCCGAGACACAATTGAGCAGCATAAGTGCTGCGAGTATTATTCACGCATGTTGTTGTATTTGGTTCTTGTCTCGTAGAGTCCAGTGTCTGATTTCATATATGGTCTAAGTGTACGTGCGAGTATGGTGTGATGTGTGACGTTTATGGTGTGTGGTGCATGCAAGAGTACGCGTTTAGAGTGTGAGAATCTGCTTGCGTCTATGTGAGAGTGACTGTCAAGTGAAGGCTGTACATGCGCAGTGCTAGTTTGGACTGGGAGTGAGAGTGATGTGTGATTCGTCCGTGGTCTGGTTGTCTTGGTCTTGGTCATGTGTTCTGTACGTATTGGTCCCTGATTGGTCGTCCCGATTTTTCATCGCTTTATTACTGCTTGTTCTTTGTTGTTCCATGGTCTTTTGGCCCTTGGTTCTTTTCTTTGTTTGACTTTAGCCTTTCTCCTCCTGTAGCCTTCCATTTGTATAAGAAGTCAGAAACTCCACCAAGTTGTTTGCGTTGTTGTGTGGCAGGGGCCAGGGGGAGAAGGCATTACTATTTCGTAAGCGACCAGATTGATGTGCTTTTGAATACCCTCCGGCGTGTCCTGTTTTACACTACTGAAAACAGATCCCCACTCAAGGTTTTTCATGGTATGTTTTAAGCCTAGTTCACATTTGACGGAACGCTGACGGTACGGGACGTAAGGGCCTGTTGGGAAGGCTGGGGTGAGCTGTAAAATCTTGTACAATTCGTACGACACGACATGCTGCAGTCGTTGTGTCGTTCAACAGCGAACGGCGCGAGTCACAAGTGTAGTATCCCTGCCCGACCAATACGGAAGTAGTACGGAACTAATACGGAGCTTTACCTGATGTATATTTAGTGTATCTCCGTATGTAAGCGTACGGCGTCTGCTGCATTAAAGTGGCTGCGCATTTCTGTTTTAATAAGATTAGATTAGATAGCAACGAAAGCTAACTCGAAGAAGAAGTAGTCAACCTCTAGGTGAGCACCGGAGAGAAAGTTATTTATTTTGCCGCTTCTTCTTTCACTAATAATTATATCTCAGGTGTAAAAGAAGTAGAATAAAAGTAATTCTTGTTGATTTCACCGCGCCTACCACTCGGCTACCTGTTACATTGGTGGCAGCGGTGTAGTCTTAAATAAAACAACGTGATTCGACCCCAGACCCCCATGGCTCAACCCGCTGCAGCTCCCTGCGACGAATCAAGATGAGAATCATGTTTCTTGCCTTCCTGGGCCTGGCCCTGCAGCACAGTCAGGGTGCTAGCGTTGATCACCCTTCTTTCCGCACGTCACACACTGGAGACTCCGATGGCGATTCCAAGCGACCCGCTACCTACATGTGTACTACCGGTGGTGATGGCGAAGCTGATGAGGACGACAACAGGCAGGCTGCTGCCCAAGACAAGGAGGGTATTCCCCAAGACTAGCAGCGTTTGATTTTCGCCGGCACGCAGTCGGAAGCAGGAGGCCACTCTTCACTTGGTACTTCGCCTCCGTGGTGGGATGCAGATTTTCGTCAACACTCTTCCTGGCTAGACCATCACTCTTTACGTCGCGCACAGCGATGCTATCGACAATGTGTAGACCACAATTCAAGACGAGGAGGGAGGTCATTTGTCTGACGCCGAGCTAGCCGCTCTGAGTGACCGGCTCAACCAAGATGAAGATAAAACCTGGCTTGCCCTCCGCCGTAGCTCCAGCCACCGCCGTGGTTACTAACGCTGATTCCAGGTATGGCATTTTCTTTCCTGTCTTCCTTCAGTCTCCCTGTTCTCTTCAGTCTTCCTTTATGCGAGTGTGTGTATCCAGTTTAGTTTGGTAGGCGTCTGATCATGGTGAGCCACGGCTTACCTTAGTAACCTGGTGAGAGAAGTGTGTGAGAATCCCCTTTTACACTCTAGGTGTGTACCGGAGTAAGTTCCCACGATGCAGTGCATTTTTTTTGAAATTGTGAATTTCCTGGCAGTTTGAGCCCGCGATGTGCAGAAATTTGGCTGTCTTTCACGTCCTGTTTGGAGGACTATTCTTTCCCTTTTGACCCCGAGAGATCGTGTGAACCTGGTGTGCTTTTACTTCTATGTTATGATTAATTTTGTTATCAGTTCATTTCTTCTGTCTACTCTGAACGTTATCATTTCCGATATAATTTGCCATCTTCCGGTTGACGCTGTGTTCATAACTCTTCACTAATTTTTTGAAAATCACGAGGGCGTGATTATCTGTAGGAAGGGAGGGTGTAGTATCCCTGCCCGACCAATACGGAAGTAGTACGGAACTAATACGGAGCTTTGCCTGATGTATATTTAGTGTATCTCCGTATGTAAGCGTACGGCGTCTGCTGCATTAAAGCGGCTGCGCATTTCTGTTTTAATAAGTTTAGATTAGATAGCAACGAAAGCTAACTCGAAGAAGAAGTAGTCAACCTGTAGGTGAGCACCGGAGAGAAAGTTATTTATTTTGCCGCTTCTTCTTTCACTAATAATTATATCTCAGGTGTATACCTGAAAGAAGTAGAATAAAGGTAATTCTTGTTGATTTCACCGCGCCTACCACTCGGCTACCTGTTACACAAGGCACGGTTCGTGACGGGGTGACTTTTGGACCTAATTTCTTGTTTTTCGGGACTTCTTTTCAATTATTTCTCCTTGAGTGAAGCGGAATCAAGTTCACAATGCCAGTTTTTCATGAAGACCAAAAAAGTAGCTTCGAAAGGTGTGCCATTCAAATAATACCGCCAGGAAATGATAAAACAGTTCGTCTGTCACGCTCCTGAACTATCCCTAAATACCATAATTGACATCAGACCTTATCTTGCTAAAATTAATTCAACTCGACTCGTGTTAGCCATTCTGCGAGTTATCATGGGAAGCGCAGTGTTCGAAATGCTAAAAAGTTCCAAGTACGAATCGGGAGTTGTTGCAAACCACCAGTTCTCAATTGGGAAAGGCCTTCGCGCTTATGGCATTGTATTCGTTGCAATGTTGTATTTCGACTCCGCCGTACCGCTGATGTTGCTGCATGGCATACGCTATATGCGCTGTGTGCGTTTTGCGGTATACGCTGTTATGTCCAGTTTTATATGCGTATGTTTTGCATGTACGCTGTTTTTGCATGCTATAAATAGCTGGTGTTATTAGTGTTCATTGTTAATTATTCGATGAAGTGAAATATACTGTGTAAAGGAAAAGAGTTGTCCTCGTGCCGTGTTGTCGTACGATCCTGACAATTTAGAGAATCTTAGGGTTCACAACATTTGGCGACCACGCCAGGATAGGAGCGAGCATGGCAGAGCAACTACACAATTTGGAAGCCAGCTTTATCGCCAATGGAGTTCGGTTAGGATTAGAAGGCGAGTCGTTGATGGAACATGTGGAGCAGAGGCTCCAACAGTACGAGGAGCGTGAGGAGCGCAGTGCCAGACGGCGAGAGGAGGCGCTCCGCACCGAGTTTGACAAAACACTAAAGGAGATTAACGAGCGCATCGCCAATGCGTATGAGGGTGATGGTAAAGCCGCGATGGGAGGTACAGAGGAAGCTTCCTGTCACAGCGGGGGGCGTCAACCGTTGATGAAAATCCCCTCATATGATGGAACGCAGCCATTGGAGCGTTATCTTGACCTGTTCGAGGACATCTGTTCCAAGAACGAGTTCGAAGAAAGCGAATGGCTGCTGCGACTGCGCATCGCGCTAGCGGGTAGCAAAGCGGAGAGGATATGTATTGGATGCAACAATTACGAGGAAGCAAAGCGAGAGTTGCTTGCCTCGCTCGGAAAGCGTGGAAGACATTGCTGACAGGCAAGCAGCGGTCAGATGAGTCGTTTCATCAATACATTGTCCGTGTTTGCCGAGAGGTGAGAGGTGTGGGCCACACTCGCTATGACAGAAGATGGCGAGGTGGACACCAAGTATAGCGCCGATATAGGTAAAATGGCCCCGGTGCTGCAAGCAATGGCAAAGCAGGTAATCTTGGAGCAATGCGGACCTGAGATGAAGACGTACCTGGTCGAACGGCAGTGCTACGGGATGTCTCTGCGCCAGGTACAGGAGCACGGCGCGTCTTACCAGGTCGCACACGGACGACAGGGTGATACGGCCAGGAAGCCAGTAGAACGATCCGTGCCAAGGCCCACGGCGTCGGCACAGTGCATGGCGATATCGGTCGCAGATGCAGAGAAGCAGCTAAAGTCGCTGCCACAGGAAGGGAGAAAGGGTTTTCTGCAGCGAGAGAGACTCTGCTGGAACTGCCCTAAGTATGGCCATATGGCCAGAGAATGTCGGTCAGGTGCGAGATGCACGAAATGCCAGAGGAAACACCACCTGCTAATACATGATGTGTTGGATAGAGCAGGTTACAGCCGGGAGAAACCGACTGAGATAGTAACGGAGAAGAATGTTGGATCATGCTGTCTACACTCGCCAAGTGTGCGGCTGATGACCGGAGTGGCACGAGTTGAGGGAAGAACTCGAAACGCGAAGGTTCGCGTGTTCCTGGACTCGGGTGCTGAGGCGTCATTCGTGACTGCAGCGTTGGTGTCAGCAATCGATGCAGAACACGTTGGGGTTGAAAATGTAGAGGTGAAGCCGTTCGGCGCGGAACCAATCCAACAGCGCATGGATAAGTACGCCATCACGATCCAGGGTAGCTCCGCTAGCATTCGGGTACGCGCGTTCGTGAAACCAACGCTAGAGCTGGACCTGAAGTGCGCAAGTCCGCAGACCATTGCGCAGTGGCACAGTTGGGGAGTAGAGCTGAGTGACAAGCCTCAACAAGGGACATCAGACGAAATACATATGCTGATTGGTGCAGACTATATCAACGCGGTACTGCACAGCAAGAAGGAAGTTAATGGTGAGACGGTGTGGAACACAGAGATAGGTAATGTATTATCTGGTCCAGCGTCTGCACCAAGTCGAAACAGTCAGCCGGTGACCGTGTCATGTGTCACAGCCCACATCGACAAACTATGGCAGTTGGATGAACCTCCAGAACAACATCAGCACCTGCCATCTTTCCCGCTATGTCGCCAGGGCAGCGGGTACCAAGTGGGTCTCTTGTGGCGAAATGAGCGTCGCCCAACGGATAACTATGCTCAAGCTAGAGTCATCGCAACGCGGCTTCTTGAAAAGCTGAAGAGGAATGGGAAGCGTGTGCTCTATGATGATGTGCTGATCAGGGAGTACCGCGAGCTTGGAGCAATTGAGCTGGAGCCATGTGAGAGCGATGCCGGGTACTATGTACCGCATCATGGTGTATTCCACGAGCACGCTGCAACCACGAAGTTAAGAGTGGTGTTCAATGCCTCGGCGACGGCGCCAGATGGCAAGTCGTTGAACGACATGGTTGACCCTGGACCGTCGCTATTGCCGAGTCTCGCAGGTATGCTATTACGGTTCCGTGAATATAAGAGCGCGCTGCAAGCGGACATCCGCAAGGCTTTCTTCATGGTCGCGGTTAATCCCGAAGACCGTCCGTAC